TTTAAATAGCTATTTTGTCTGGTTGGGAAGTTATTTTTTGTGTGTGTATAAAATACATGTATTGATAAAGTGTCAAGTAGTCTTAAATGTCACCCATAGACAAAAGAATTATCCTGAATGTCAGAAATAAATGTTTGTTGACAAATATGTAAATTGTTGGGGGAAAATTATTGTTCATCTTTGAAGCTGGAAGTTAAAATTGTCATGCAGTGAAATGTGGGACTATTTCTTGATGGATGGAAATAATATTAAATTTGTTTCAAGTTTTAAGTGAGGGAAATTGTGATTTAGGGAAGTAAAAATTGTGAGAGAAATGTATTTTGCTATAGTTATTCATCATGATGTGAATAATAGACATGATGACATTGTAAGTGATTTTAATGCTTTTTAAGTTGAAATGAGCTGTGCCATGACAAAACCAACATATTAATGGGTTTGCGACCAGCATGGATCCAGACCAGCCTGCGCATCTGCGCAGTCTGATCAGGATCCATGCTGTTCGCTTACAATCCCTATTACAAGTAGAGAAACTGATAGCAAACAGCATGGATCCTGATCAGACTGCGCGGATGCGCAGGCTGGTCTGGATCCATGCTGGTCGCAAACGCACTATGTTGGTTTTGTCGTGACGCGGCTCAAATGATTATTTTGAGGAGTATATTTAAAGGCACATAATGCCTTAGAAATTTATATTTATTAAAGTTCTTTAGAAATGTTAAACATGTGTTTAATATTGTTTTACTAATGGATTTAAAGCATGTTAGGTGTTTAACATCTGAACAAAGTAGCGCTGAAGGTGCAATCATGTGTTGTAAAGGTAGCAAAATGTAAACAAAGTAGTATTTTGAATTCCATACAGAATACTAATTAAAAAAATTATGCCAATTACCAACATAACAAAATCAGCAAAATTTTTTAGAATACAAAAAAATATAAAGGTTCGTGAAATAAAAATGATAGCATTTCTGGGGCATATTGGGCCTTTAAGGCCTTTAGGTAGCACTCCACAGTTAATTTCAAGTTCCTGCCGTCAATGTCCTACAAGCAATACGTCTAATAATTCTGATACCAAACTACACAACCTGGAAAAAGAAAACACATTTTGTTGAGAACATATATGACATAAGATTGCAAATCTACAAAGAAATTATCCCATCTGCAATAGGCAGGCAGTCAAAAAATTTGCAATTCATTCCGTTGAAGCCCAAAATCTACAGTGGCCCGAGACCCAAAACAACACATTTCGACCCTCTGGCAAAAAATATCTGCAAATATACAGGCTAAAGGAACACCGTCTCTGCTTTAGCAACTCCCTATACATGCAAAATATCACAAAGAAACTAGTCCTCAACCAGGTAGATTTTTTGCTACTGCTAAAAGTTTGTACCCCCCTGTAAAATGACTTCTTTTTACCGTGCATGCTGTATAAAAGCAATGTTTACAAAAAATGGCGGCCTTGACATTCATAATCAACAGCATGTGATTTCTGGCCATGTTTTCGAATTTGCCAGTGATCATATTAGATGTCACAAAAACAAATTTTATGCTGAAAATGCATTTTAAAGACAACCAGTCATTTAAATCCAGAATATTCACTATATCCAAGAAATCCTCCCTGGCCATTCGAAGCTGTGGCTTACATTACTGTGGTGTGCTACCTTAATATTACAACTGGAAAAAAACAGGTGTCTAGTTTTAATATAGTTTTGAAATTAACTGCATCTTTAATCACAATGTACAACAATTTTACTTGCATTTGACATGATTTTTATATCAGAGATGTAAAAGTACGTACAATATTTCATTGATAAAAAATTTGTTTTCTAATTTTTTAAACTTCATCATTATAAGCATCTTTACTTATGTACTTTTCTTACCATTGAAGAGTTATTTTTTTCATCTTTACTTATGCATTATTTTAGCATTGAAGAGTGTTTTTTTCAAAACAGTGAATTTGTTACTATGGAAACCTAAATTTACAGATTATCCATAGGCTTATTAAAACAATAAAGATTTTACCTATAGCTTTTTTATTCTCCTTGTGATGATAATGATGTATTTGATGATATGTTTAATTAAAAGATACAGATTTATGTTTTATTTGGCATATTATCATCTATATAATCTTTAAATATTCAGGGCTTCTTTGTAAGGCTTCTTTGTTTATGAAATGGTTTCCCCTTTATTTAATTGGTCAGGTTGCCAGAAATAAGTGTATGTTTTATAATGAATATACCTTTTTTTACTTGATAAGAATTTTTTTCTTCATATTTGTTATAAAAAAAAGGTTAGGAGGATATCAGTTTTTTATGAAACTGGATAGTAATATGAGTTGGAAATATCTCTAGCTCTTTTTTTGGCATCAAAATGAAATCACCACATTGACTTGCTAATTTATGGCACTAAAATAAAACCACCATGAAATCACCACATGGACTTGCTAATTTATAGCACTAAAATAAAATCACCACATTGACTTGCTCATTTACGGCATCAAAATGAAATCACCACATTGACTTGCTAATTTATGGAACCCAAATGAAATCACCACATTGGCTTGTTAATTTATGACATCAAAATGAAATCACCACATTGATTTTCTTATTTATGGCACCAAAATGAAATCACCACATTGACTTGCTAATTTATGGCACCAAAATGAAATCACCACATTGACTTGCTAATTTATGGCACCAAAATGAAATCACCACATTGACTTGCTAATTTATGGCACCAAAATGAAATCACCACATTGATTTGATAATTTATGGCACTAAAATGAAATCACCTCATTGACTTAATAATTTATGACATCAAAATGAAATCACCACATTGCCTTGCTAATTTATGGCACAATAATGAATTCATCACATTAACTTGCTAATAATTATTTATGGCACCAAAATGAAATCCCCACATTGACTTACTAATTTATGGCACCAAAATGTAATTTCCACATTAATTTGCTAATTTCTGGCAGCAAAATGAAATCACCACATTGACTTAATGACACCAAAACTTTTGTTTTTCTCCTTCTTACCAAGTATTTGGGCAGGTTTGGCAGAGGTGTTACATTTGACTGGTTCTTGACTGTTACAATTGATTTTCTTCTACAAGTAGTATATAGTACTTTATGTCCTGAATATAGTCTGAAAGTACATGTATAAAATTCCTCAAATATTTTAAAAAATATTTTACATTTTGTTTTAATAGAAATACCTTAGTTTTATTGCAGTGGTCTGTTAAACTTGATGCTGCTGTTATTGCACTAAATGCTACTGAGTCATCAAAAATATCTTTCTGGAAGTTGAAATACTATACTTGCTATTTATCAACTGTAGAAAATAAAATTCAAATGGGTAAAATGTATTTAGTCAGCAGATATTCCTAACCCCTAGCCTGCTAGCGCAGTAAATGATTTTACCTTAGATGCAACCTGAGTGCAGACAAAGAGCAGCAGGCACGTACATGTATGTGGCATCTGTGACATCACATCATGGTCCATTCAGACTGAATTTTGGTGTCACGTAAAAAAAACCTCCTCGTTACCATTATATTAATTCGATTTAGTAAACCACACTTTTAACGGTATGACACCCCTAACAATTTTGAAGTTTCCTAATATAAACAATTTATTGACCAGTCATTTTTAAGCATTGTAAGAATTAATGATGGATTTAAAAATCAAAAGGTTGATTTTGTCTTTATCTTAATTTTGCAATTGAGCCATGGTCCTTCCTTTGTTTAATTATGCCCAAAATCTTTATTTTGGTCTTGCATTGAATATTTTATTGAACGTCAGCATAATTAATCGAATTTGAAAAAACATAGATCGATGCATTTGAATACTTGCTCTAAGGGGTTTAATTTTGAATTCTTGTAAATTTAACTTTATTGAAATTTAAGATTATTAATAAATAGGTAGGTTTATACATGTACCTGGAAGTATGATCTCGTTATGTTCTATTTTTAGCTCAACTACAGAAGAAACTGAAGGCCACTGAGTATTTTCTATGTATTTCCCACATGTGTTGGAATTTCTCCAGCATCACAATGTCTATACCTTAGCTTGATTTTATCAGTAGATCATCTGCAAAACTCAGTGATCCTGTGTTTATTCCTGAGTAACTGAACATATATTAGACATACCCCCAAGTGCATTGTGGGAACTTTTCGTTATGCAGATAAAATAATATTTTGCTGGTGTTTTTTTCTCTGTTTGAAAAGATTGTTGGTTGGTTTTTTTTGTCTTGTTTAAGAAATAAGAAAAAACAGCTGGAGTGGATATTTTTCGATTTTGAAATTTTCATTTGATATATTTTGTACAGGTACAATATGGGAGATGTTTAATTTGTTTTTTGTTAAAAATGGATATAAATTGTTATGTATATAAGATTTAATAGTTTGAATAATTGGCATGGAAAGATGCACTGCTTAAGCGTGATTGGTGAAAATTTAACGAAAACAAACACAATATGGGCATACTTTGTGATATAGTATATTAGAACTATAGGTATAAGAAATGATGTATGACTTTCATATAAGATTTGTTGTAAAATAATTTCAGATATAACATGAGTGACAATGAACACAAATAAAGGCAAATTAATTTGAAATTATCATTACTGTACAATACTTTAAAATCATGCTGTTAATTGCATTTTTAGTTTTTTATTGGGGTAAAAAGTATTACTTTTTTATTCCTCTGCATATTTATTACTTTGCATTATCATCGTATACCTTAATTAAGTTGATGCTGAATAAAATATTTGCACTTTGGCTTACAATTACAATAAGTTTGAGAAGAAAATGATAGGCAAATATTAATGAAATTTAAATAATGCAATTAAAACCAGTTTTAAAGTACTACTAAAATATCTTTAATCAATTTAATATTTCAGCAAAGCGTTCATATTCTGCATTTTCATGCATGTTTAAAACAATTTAAAGTGATACTGATTATGACATTTTTTTATGAATTTTTTTATGATATTTTGCAGAGTGCCGACGAGAAGCTGAGAAGCTTAAGTCACAAGGGACATCACTCCAGCAAGACCAACACAAACACATATTGCGGTGCTCAGAATGGACAGTCAAGCTCACCAGGTGGAGCTTTTGTGACTTCTTCAAGATCAGAGGCTCCTGATGTTCCGCCGCCACCTATACCTCATGTGACAACCAATCAGATTCAACAGAATCAGTCACATGACCAAAAGCCTCATCATGAAACAACCAATCAAAATAGATCAAATAGGTCAAGTGTTATCATACTAGAGACTGCTGAAAGTGAAATTCCTCCACCTATTTTTCCGAAACCTCACGTAACACAAATGGCGGAAAGACGTTTACAGCGTCAAAACAGAAAAAGTGGGTCACAAGATGAAAATGTACAACTTAAAAAGAGATCACGTAGTGAAGGGCCACATGGTCGGAGAAAATTAAGAAATTCAATGCACGAGACGTCAAATAAAGTAAGTCCAAATAAGTCTGCATCTAATGGAAGACATTCAATGTATACGGGACACATGTCCGATGATGATAATGCTATCATGGTATCTGGGAGTGAGTCCCCCGATTCAGACATCGTCGATCAGCGATGGACAAAAAACCCTCTCATGAGTCGAAAAGCACGAAAAAGTGAAAAAAATTCAAAAACTGATAAAAGAAGATCTGTTCATAATGTTGAAAGTCCAAATAGTAACATGGAACAAAGTGGACCAAATTCCTACCAGGTTTCACAAAGCAGGGATTTCTTTATTCAACCGAGAAAGCCTGATCCTTTTCAAGGTCAAAGCAATAAAGCGAAATTTTTAAGAATGGAAGAAAATCGTAAAAAGCGTATAGACATGGCGGTGACTAGTGACGAGGAGTGTTCTCCGCAGCTACGAATATCGCGTCTCCGACAACGTGCCATCATGAGTTCTCATTTAGGTGACAATCAAAGATTTGAAGATAGTTTAAATATCGTACCTGTAAGAGATGAGAGCTCATTGAAATCATATCAGGAATTCACGAATGGATTATCACAAGTGGATAAAAGCTTACGTAATAGAGTTTCACAATATGACGAGAATAGACAGAGTAAATACGATGAAAATTATAACGTGAATGGAAATTTCTATCAAGAATATACCAGACAACAAGGAGTAAAACATAACAAGTTACCAAATGTTCTTCCAGAGTTCCTTCCCGAAAACAGAGATCGTGCAAATTTGACAAGTAGGAATTTCCAAAATGTTCCAAGTGCAGATCATGTGACTAAAAATATTCTGGTTCAAAATAAAAATTTACAGTCTGGTCAACTGAAATCAGAAAAACAATTGCGACACCAGGGTGTGAAAATGTCGAATGATTCGCCAAAACTGCGTAGCTTTACGGAAGTAAAGGCTAATCAGCCTACACAGTTGAAAAAGGCAGATCAAAAGATTGAACTAAATCCAAGGTCACCGAATAGCTCTAGTGACTCATTAGATGATTTGATTGAATCAAATATTCAGTATCTGGAAAGTGAAATTGAAAGTGGAAAATTAAAACGCCAGTCTGGTAATTACTCACAAGAAAGAGTCGTACAAAGACAAGTTAGGGAACCATTTCAAATAAATCAAAAACAAGAAGAATTCAGATCACAGTTACAAGATCCAAGAACTTTTGTCTCTAATAAACTTATGTCTACTGTAACTAAAGTTGAACCAAAAATTATTCAAAAATCTACCATGTACCCTCAATCAGGTATGTCTTATTCTAGTCAGTATCAAAACTCGCGGCAAACTTCGTCTTCGATGACGGATCATAGAAATGTCCCTCCGTCAGGTTCAGCAACGTACAGTCCATATATGCAACGTAAAACGTACGATGTAAATGAAGATATTTCTAAATCAGATAGTCATCTAAATGCATTTAATTCTAACTTTAATTCAGTTCCAACAGCCTTTCAACCGGCTAAAAGTTACGCACCTTATCCTGTATTAAATAAAGAAACTGGTAATATAACGTATATACAACCAACAGATAGTATTGAGGATCAAATGCAAATGCATGAAAATGGAACTATGGTTGATTCCGGAATGTTCTCTGATGTTGAGTATAATATTGAAGTTTCCGAGAGAATTAAAAAATGGGAGAAAAAGTTAACTCCCGGTGAGCTTGAAGAAAGACATAAAGTTTTAAATACCATAAAAGAATATGAGTCATTCAGTGACAGTAATCAGAAAGATTCGGTTCCGGATACTCCAGTTGAGGTCCGGCGTGAATTATGGCAGTTAGTGAGTCCAACTAGTAATTCTGGAGTTGGTAAATTATCGGTCAATTTAACACGATCAACATCTTCTATATCAGATTCAAACATGCAGGATCCATCAAGTGCCCAGTACTTTGAACCGAAAGTGGTTTCATCAGAAACAAATTTGCACAGAATTTTTCGTGTAGTGAATGAACCAAGACGAAGGCCAGTTACAAAAACAATCAAAGTTAAACCGTCTACAGAGTCTCATGATACAAACATTCAGAATAGATCGCGAAGAAAACCTCCAGAAGTTGCTTCACATGCGCAGAGTTTGAGTAATGTGACATTAAGTGAATCTGAAATTGGGTCAAATATGCAACAATCATGGCCGCCTATGGTTGTTGACTCTGACAGTGGAATTAGAAAATCATGGAGAATGTCCCGATATGAAGATGAAATAAATGAGTTAAAGGAACTAGTTTCAGACAATTTTCGCGACATAAGGAAGCGTTTCGATTCCGATATGAGTGAGACAGATACTAAACGTGCATCGCCAGTTTTCCGCGAGCCGCAAGTGCAGGCTCCGATGGCTGTAAGTGTTCCAGTTACCTCACAAACCTCATCTGGAATGTCAAAGTTAACACTCAATATTCAGCCAGTTACACCTACTAATCAGAGGTCACCTGTAACAATCAGACGTAAGTTATCCGACCAGAGACAAGATAGAACGCCACCAGCTTCACCTGCTGTTCCAGTGACACCAAAAAATGAAAGGAAAGTGCCTATTTTTAGGAATGTTCCTATAGAAACTAAGTCGATCTCAACTGTTATACAATCTCCAATAAAGCAGACGACAGTTCCAGATTTGAAGCAGTCATCTTCTGCAGACAGTAAAATACCTCCTGATATATGGTCACCAAATATGGAGAGTAGGAAAGGACTGGTTAGTATGGAGAGAGTGAAAGCACGTACTCTGCAAACAATTCCTTTTTCGGAAGATCCAGTTTGGAAAGAAATCGAAGGACTTGCAACTTTCGATAAACCAGATGAAATTTCTAGAGAAGTGAATTTTGATGAAATTGACGAACTATTAAAACTTGCTACCGGTGGAGTTGACAATTTGAAGGCAAGATCAAAACCGAATTTAGTGTTTGACGATCAGATGAGGAAATTGTCTGCTTCTGACAATATTGCACCACATCAATCAACACAACAAGAGATATTAATGACCCAGAGCTTCACACCAACCACCCATATGCAAGTACCCAAAGAAAAACACCGTGCATTGTCTGATTCAACATATCCACCTCCTTCAAACAAGCATGTCTTTCATCCTCCTACAATTCAACCCTTGAAACTTAACTCAAAATCATCGAAGAAATCAAGCACAAGTGCTCTAGATGAAGTATTGGAAGACATTCGCGCTACACTTCAAAAGAAACCATTAAGTCCAAAACTTATGAAAAACTTGGACACATCAGAATCTAACTCATCCACAAACCTTTCATTGCAATCCCCTCTGACAAAATCTTCAAAATCTTTCATCTTTCCAAAGGATATAAAACGTGCCAAAACTGAAACCGTGCCAGAAAACCCTGAAGTTGTGAAGTCGGCTGCTGCTACACCTGGTTATGATAACACAAGTGCGTCATGGAAACCAGCTGAGAATGAGCTCCCACCCCAAGCTTTACAGCAGCTAGCAAATACAACTTATATTGATCCTGAGTTTACACAATTTCCATATATTATCAATGGAAATTATCACCTTGACCCAAAACTTTTGTCAGAAAAGTTAAAAAGTACAGGTTTAGCAAATGACTCCTCAGATGAGCTTTTGTTAAAACGAAAAAAGGCATTTGATTTACCTGCCAATCATCAAGCATTGAACTTAGAAAAGAATCAGCCTGCCAATCTGGTGAATAGACCAGAGACTGTAAAGCAATCTAATCCAATTACCCATGAGCTGGACCAATCTGTTGATGACCTGAGATCATTAGCGCAAGAAGTCGAATTTAAGTTGAGTCAGATTAAATCGCGTATTGTTTCCGCAGATGAGGATAGACTTGACAGTATCTTGTTAGCATTGAGAAAATTTGCTCCAATGACTGAAGAGAAGTTTTTCAATGTGAAATTTACACCAAATTATGAATCGGATAAAGCAAGGAGAAGCAAGCTAGAAGATGCTTTGAATGAACTTGAAAAAATGTATGAAAGTTTAGACTTGGATGATAAATCATTGATGGATAGGGCATCCAGGAGAGATGATACTGTTGAATATGAAAATAGGCAAGGTATTAAAAGTAACGTACAAAATATATCTGAATTAAATCTGAGTTAAGAATTTTCGATAAAACGTCGCTGATAAAAGGCCTAGTAACATGATGGAACGTAAAAATTTTTTAAGCCGTCACAGATTGATGAAATTGAAAAAGACAAACTCAAAAATGAGTTTGAAGACATAACCAAATTCATTTCAAGTTTTGTTGGACGAAGTTACAAAGCAGTGTCGCCAATGCTTGCACAAAGGTTCATCGCTCCATACTCGCGGCGTTCAGATTCAAACTTGTTCTCCCCAACGGGTCTCCTTCAGTATCTTCAAGTCAGCTCCCCCAATGAAATACGACAAGAACCACGAGACAACGTGTTTGAAAGTAGACGCATTCAACAACGAGCTGTCCAGAATAGTTTATAACACTGCCATAAAAGAATTGGAATCTGTGCTACAGGAAACTAATAGACCAAATAGACAGTAAACCTGTACAAACTGTAATGTATCTTAATCTAGACAAAATCGAAAACCTTCTATGCAGAAATTTAATGATAATCAAAAAAGGTTGCTAATCTTGTTTCACCAACTAGAAATCTTGATATACAAATAAAGTCAAAAGCTGTTGTATCGCAATAAAGACATTACAAAAGCCGCAGGATCAAATGCAAAGCCCATTTGTTTCTATGGCAACTGAATTTTTAAAAACCAGCAGTTACAAGACCAATCACAAAAGATGCATCTAGCGGAGAGTCTAGAAATGTCAATAAAATGTCTTGCTTCATTGCAAGTTGAATTAAGTGAAGAAAAGCCACAAGTTCGAGGCTCAGGAAGATTTAGAAAACGCGGAAATATTGAGCACAGAAAATCTATGCCAGCAATTACAAGAAATGTTGAGACCCAGACTGTTGAAACCCAGACTGAATCTCCTCCAAATGTGTCTGAAATGAAAGAAAAGTTTGAACAATATAGAAAAGCTTCTCTTCAAGAAATGTCCAGTGATAGTTCTCCTGACTTTAAATTAGGTCGCTATCAAGTAGACAAAGCTTCTGTTGATATTAGTCATGATGATATAAGTTCTAGTGATGACGAAGATGATGTGACGAGAAAATCTAAAATGCGACGATCTTTGAGTTGTCCGGACATTGTTGCACTTTTAGAGGAATTTAATAGAAAAGAGAAGGAGAAAGAGAAAAGATTAGCCAAAGTTGATAAAACTAATGCAAAGAAAGGGACAAAAAGTTCTACACCAAAGTCTGTGAAACAGAGGCATGAGAACAAATTAAGATTTAGATCTTTGCATAAAGATGATGCTAAAGTTAAACAAACTGATATAAGTATGTCAGCAGCGTCTGATGATGGGTTTGAAACTCCTAAGAATAAACCACCAGTGTACCCTGTATGGAAATATCCAGGACAAGTTGAAAGTTCAAAAACTGAAAGTGTAAAGAAAAGTGAACAAAAAAAACAAGCTTTCGGAGTTGATAGAGATTTTACAAAAACAACCTCAGATACTGAACAGGATCGAGTGTTTTTACAAACTTCTGACCAGGGCTGTACTGGGATTGATGAAAGGGTCATCAGACGTCGTTCACGGTCATTTGGTGGCGAGCAGCAAGATCCCGAGGATAGACCAAAGAGTTTTCATGAGCTTGTTGCAACATTTGAACAAAACCCTAAACGTCTGGAGAAGATTCGAACAAGTGGTTTACGAAAATGTGCATCAGAAGACTCCATGTTTACTGATTTAATATTGCAGAAAATTTATCATTCTGAAACAGATCTGTATACAGATGAAAAAGGGCAAAGATTGTCAGGGTCAGGGTTAAAACTTGCTCTAGAAATGAAGGTTAAAGATTAATGTTAAAGAGGTCTATGTTTGTATTGAAGCAGTCAAATAAGATTATACTCCATAATTCTAAGATATTCTTAGTTATTTTTAGTACATTACACATTGTATTTTCATTCAAGAATTTTTTTTCTTATTGAGTATATAATGAAAACATGCTAACAGTATTCAATCCTACCCTGATTTTTGTTTGCTTTTATCAAATATTTTTTTGCATACATGTATATATTTTAAATTAATTGACAATTATAACTGATTTTTTGCTTATTTTAAAGAATGGGATTGTGTGTACATGTATTTATTTTTATCTTTTATTTTTTAGTTTTTCCCGTATTTTGTTTGTTTTATCATAATTATTGTTTATTATACACCTTTTCTTTAAATTGCTTTTATTTAAAGAAAATAATGGCTGAAAATTTAGGATATTACACAATATAGCAATTCTTCTGGTTTTGTTTTCCTAGTTGCATTTATGATTCATTATAACAGAGTGGAAATAGCTTTTGTTAGGAAATAAAGTGTAGAAAATAGATCTAGCTGTTAATTGATAATACAATAAGTCAGGCATCTGGTAAAAGACAAGGTGCATTGTGGGAAGCTGTGATTAGTCAGTCATTTAGAGAAAGGTGATTTTTTTTCTTGGCCTTGATGTTAAAGTACTGACATTTTGCCAGAGCAAAACACAAATAATGACTGATAGAAATAATGGTAACATTAAAGACAAAAACACTTTCCTTAAATGTCTGAATATACTTTTATGTAATATTTTTTTGTGAAACATGTTTAGAAATTCAAATTTTGAATGTTTTTATTGCAATATTTGTATTGTTTATTATTGTCATTGAGTTATCTTAGCATTTGAGATCAATTTTTATACAGAGAAATGTTTAATTTTATTTGATTGGGTGAATCTGAACATAATTGACCAATCGATGTCTTCCAAAGAGTTTCAAAGTATTTTCTGCAGCATCGAAACCCTGTCAAAAGTGTATATGTACTGAACACTAAAGATTTTGAAAGAACTTCACAAGTTTTAAACCAAAGGCCATTTAGAAATTAGAATTTGATTCACAAATATATATGTATTGTTTAGTAAACTGGATATTAATATTTCATTTTGTTTACTGATCACAATTTTTAGCCTGTTTACATTATGTTATATAAACTCACAGATCAAAACAGCTGTTATAAAAATTATGAAGGTATATAAATAGGCAAAGAACATTTTTTTACAGGTAGTTCTGATACCTTGCCAACATGTTCTACATCACAAGTGTCTATATAGATTATGTTTTATGATTTAGTAGATGTTTTGAATTTCTAATGGTGTTAACAGGCAAGCTTTTTGTGTATTTTTGTAGCATTTTGACACCAAACATTCAGCTAATGTTTACAAATAACAATATTATTGTGACATTTTTAACATCTGTTAGGCTCCATTTAACAACTGATGAACTGAGGGAGACAACTCTGCCTTTTACCAAAAAAATTTGCTCCCTTTCAATTGTTTATTTCATTTTTTTTGTGTTTTTGTTTTGTTTTTATTTTCTTCTGAAATGATCAGGTAGATGTTAAGTTGTTTTATTTCAACAAAACTTAGATATTGTGTTATTTAGATTACATGTATAAATAAATTCATTTTACACAGATGCATGGAGGCCGAGCTGAAAGTAAGGGAAAATGTTAGCCGTTTTTTTTTCACAAAGCATTATCTTATCTATGCAGACTAAAATCATGCTAGCAACCAAGTAAACTACAATTTTTTAAACATTGCAAGAATTTTACAGGTGTTTCAGTTAGGTCATGTCATTACATCCTGTGTGTAGAAATTTTTTTTATCAGATTTCATAGAGAAAAATTGGTGCCAAACATGTTAGTTGTGCCAGATAATTAAGAAACTGTGCCAAAATATATTCTCTTGTATTACCGTCTTTATTTTTTTACCATGCAGAATAGTTAACAATCTTAAAGGTTACCCAACATTGCAAAATTGAAAATTGCCGCAGGCTCTGTTTGATTGATTTAGAATTCGGTGATAAAAAAAATCATGCAATTTTTGAGAATAGATTTGTTTTAACCTTATTTAAAGGTTGATCTTTAAAACTGAAAAATAATTCCAAATGAAAATTTAGAGGTCATTTTAATTCCCAGTTAAAACCAATTAGAAAATAATAACTTCTTATTTGTTTATTAAAACTTTGACCAATGAAAGAGTCTTGTAAAAGACTGATTCCAAACCTTTATTTTTTGAAAATGATCAGATTTTATGATTATTTGAAACCAGTCTAAAACTGTTAAATCTGATTGGATGGGATTTATTAAGAAATGATAGGAATGGTAATATCTACACTCTCTATAACTTGTAGATATCAAGAAAGACAACTCTGGATAGAAAAGTAATTAATCAAAGATATGTGACATGTTTTTTATTTTTATTTTATCCAAACATTTTTATGTACATTGTATTGGAATTAACAAGAGTTTAGTCTTTTAAAAATATAGTTTTAGATTATTCATTGAATTTATATTGTTTTACCTTGTTTATATTAACATATTAATAATTTATATAAATAGTGCAGTCAGTTGTAATCATGGCCCATCCATAATGAAGGTGACATAGAAAATAAGCGGAGGGTTCACCGCTCAGCCGGACCATCAAGCAGATGGTTGTGTTTTGGTATCAAAATAGTTGATGATCTCTCCAAATGGCATGTAGGGATTTTAAATCATTTGTTTTGACATAGGACAGGACCTTTACCAGGGATTGATATAGTCCTTACTTTAACCTGGGAGTGCAGGGGTCAAGGTTATAACTGACCGGTGCATAATTTCTCCTCATTTTAGGTTGTGATCGCATATAATGTAATAGAAATACAGTATTCATAGTATATCTTATTTTGTAACCTCGTTATTTTGTAATTTTCAATTGTTTTTCTAATGTAGAATATGATGTATTCACTTACGAGAGGTGGTTTCTTAGGAAGATTTATTTCAATGATAAAGGGATGTTTGAAAAATGATGCCCTTAATGTAGAGTGTTTTTTGCCGAGCTGAGTTTTTGTTTTTTGTATGGTACACCTTCTTATATAATAATAAATTAAAAAAATTTGATGGTTGACTGCAAAACTGCAGTAACTTATATGAAATAAAGAACGACTTACAACAGTCTTGTAGTCAACCCTCGTGTAGTAATTCCCAGTAACATTTGTTTGTGTTTTATGGAAGCATTATGTACTGGAGATTTGACTTAAGTTAATGTAACTATGAATTATGTAAAATGTCAAGGAAGCACCTCAACATTGGTAGCAAGTTTCTCTTAGTTTATATAAAATTATGAGTGTCCTTGAAGTATTTTTATTGTTTTTCTACTATTTGACTATCTAGCTATTTGATTATTTACATGTATACCGCATAATAATATAAACTATGCCGTTTTTTTAATGTCATTTTTATTTGAGGACAATGTATATTAATATTTATATGCTTGAATTATTGGCATTATGTATATTATACGAATGTAACATTTGCTTAATATAAAGTTTTTTTTTCATGTCCATGTAATTGTAAATAGTTAAGCCAAACAGAATTTGTGCAATATATTGAGAATTTGTGCCAAAAGAAACAATGTAAATACATTGTAGCATGTAAATTGCAATAGTTAAAAGTATGTTAAAAGTTTTTCGTTAAGGTCACAATTGGCTTTTACTGGCCAATGGTACCATGTGAATGGCCTATTGACTTTTCGACAAATTTTATTATCTCTAGGCTGTTACTTGATAGTTAAAATGTGTATTGTCATGGAATGTTGAAATGAAATGGTTCCATATAGCATTTGTTGATGTATGAATTTGTGTGACAGCGCCAGGGTGCATAAGCAAAATATTTTATGGCAAAATGTAATGTTAAATGAGCCGCGTCTCGACAAAACCAAAAAAGTGCGTTTGCGACCAGCATGGATCCAGACCAGCCTGCGCATCTGCGCAGTCTGATCAGGATCCATGCTGTTCGCTTACCAACTCTATTACAATTTGAGAAATTGGTAGCGAACAGCATGGATCCTGATCAGTCTGTGCGAAAGCACAGGCTTGTCTGGATCCATGCTGTTCGCAAACGCACTATGTTGCTTTTGTCGTGATGCGGCTCAAATGTGACTCCAGTCTCGTCTGCTCCTTTATTCAACTAAGATGGATTTTTCCCTTAAATAATTAAAATGCTGGAATTGGAAGTGATATTGAGCTTTTACAGTATAATGATAGGCCAGTCAGTACTGCATACTTCTAAACTCTACCACTTTTAGCGGGAGACTCCCACTTTCTGCAGCCATATTTTCAAAGATTTCTCTTAAAATAAGGGATATTTAGATAAATTAAAGAAATCTCCCTCTTTTTGATAACAGAACTTTCTTCTTTGTTTATTGCAAATTCTAATATCTCCCTTTTTTTGAAGAAATATCTTCCACTTGATCATTGAAAAAGTTCACTTATATGGTACTGGTGTCTGTGTAAGGTCATTACTATTCATTGACCAGCTTCAGATTTTCAACTTTATATTTTTTCAAAATTGATAATGGTCAGTTCCAAAATAAAAGTTAGGCAGACTCATTTATGAAACTCAGCAGGTTAATTTTGAAAACTTAAGATTGAAAAAACAGTCAAAAATTCTAGCATCTGATTGGTTTAATTTCAACTCAAATTTAAAATTGACCAATCAATTCTATCCTTGTTCAAAACATGAATATAAAACATACATATTGATTGTAAAAGCCAAAGATAAATAATGGAAAAAAACTGTTGAAAATCTATGCGCTTTACTAAGCTGTAATTTATGTTTAATTACAAAAAATTACAGGAAAATATAAAAAAAATAGAGTACTCACTTGCAGATTTGAGCTTTCATGTACAATACATTGTATGTACTTTTTTATTGTTATTAGTTTGTGTTTAAATCTAATGTGTCCAACATATATTTAAACTTTTAAAAAGTATTTTAAATGACTTTGGAGTAGAGATTATTATTCTGACAAAGAGATTATTTTTCCGACTTAGAGATTATTTTTCTGAGAGTAGAAATTATTTTGTGCATTGATTAGAGATTATTTTTGATTAGAGATTATTTTTCTGAGAATAGAGATTATTTTTCATTAGGGATTATTTTTAAGATGAATTGGAGCTATTACACTTAGCATGAAATTTCAACATCAACACTTTTATACATGATAAAATGTTGATATTAAATTGTATTTTGTGAAATAAGATAAATAGTACACTGAATGTACAAATGTAGAAAATGTCATTGTTAATGATGTCATGAATTGTGACCGGATTATTTATTCAAAAACAATTATTTGTATGGTATGCGAAGTAGTTATAAGTTGTATAAATTAATTAAAGTGTAGATTATTTTAATGTGTACTCTGATACTATGACAAGATATATATGCAATGAAGCAAAATAATAATTATTATAATGCAACAGTGTTTGTTCTTTCTTGTATTATGGAATCCAAACTTATTGGTTTGTTGTTCCTTGAACATGGTTTCAATTTGTTATACCCCCAAAACCAAGTTTTGATGGGGTATATAGGAGTCACCCGGTCCAGCAGTCCATTGCAATTTCCTTGTACGGAGCATAACTTGAAGACTAATGGAAGGAAATTTAATACAACTTCATACAATAATCAAGCACAATGAGAGGATGTGCAGTGCACAAGAACCATAACTCCATCTTGACATCACAGAGTTATTGTCCTTTGATACTTTTCTGAAGCATAACTCGAAAAGTACTGGTTGGAATTCAAAACAACTTCATACAATGGCTAAGCACAATAAGAGGAAGTGCAGTGCACAAGAACCATAACTCTATCCAGAGTAATTATAGAGTTATTGCCCTTTGTTATTTTTCCATTGTTTTTTTCTTGTCCAGAGCATAACTTGAAAACCACTAGTTGGAATTCATTACAACTTCATGCAATGGTCAATCAAGCACATTGAGAGAAAGTGCAGTGCACAAGAAACATAACTCCATCTTGACTTATCACAGAGTTATTGCCCTTCATTACTATTTCTTGTCCAGTGCATAACTTGAAAATTAATGGTTGGAATTCAATGCAACTTCATACAATTGTCAAGCACAATAAGAGGAAGTGCAGTGCACAAGAACCAAAATTCTATCCACAGTTTTTATAGAGTGATTGCCCTTTGTAACTATTCTTTGTCGCAGAGTATAACATGAAATCTTCTTGTTGGAATTCAATACAAGTTTGTACAATGGTCAAGTATATTGAGAGAAAGCATGGTGCACAGGAACCATAACTCTTTCTTCACTCTTATAGACAGCCTATATAGCAGTTAAAATAAGCTTTCTTTACAATCAAACTTTATAAGGATATTTTGACACTCAAGCTGCTGGAACTTCAAAAAGATTTGCCATTGCCACCAGTAAAGAACCAGGCCAGCTTGCACATCACTGCTGTCAAAACTGTTGGCTGACATTGATATCGCCACAATCGGCAATGGACAGTTCTAAAAATGTCTTCTTGAAAAGTGTGCTACTCAAATTGAGCAGGTTCAGCTCGAAATACAAATATGATTTTGGTGATTCGTTTATACAGAATTTGTTCATGTTCAATTGTATAGGAAGCTTAAAGCTACTAGACACACTTTCGAATCTGTTCCTGGAATCAACCAGTACTAAGCAATCAGTGTAAAATTTATTGCTCAAGGGAACAACCTCTATCCCACGAAGGGGTTATTACCAGCAGGATATGTTAACCATGCTGCCACCATGATTACAGTGTTTGTGCTGTCTGCTTATGTTTCCTTCATTGGCTCATATGTCCCGATATCGATGTAAAGGTCATGTACAAACATTCAATATTTAGTTGGTAGAGGAGTACTTTAATGCTTATCATTCTGTACACTATTTCTAGGTGTCTGGGTAGAATCACAATGCATCTGAATACTAGATAATTAATTTTTATTCATTCGTTTCTTTGATTAGGTTTACATCGCATGGACACGGTACAAGTCATATGGCAACTTCTGTACATTATTTCAGGCAAAACAGGCACCTGAGTAGAACCACCCAAATCATCTGAATTTTGGATAGACTCAACATACATCAGTATTCTGAATACCGGGAAGAACAATTTGTCTGAATTAGAGTCTGATCCATAGAAATACAAAGCCTACAAAATTCAAATCTACCATAATTAGTTACAAACGGGTTCAAGTTACCAGCATCAACCACTTGATCACAGAAGCCTGAGTTGTGAGTTTAACGCTTTAACAGAATGATTCAATCAACACAACTCGGATATTTGATGGCATTTAATTTATTCATGGAAGATACATAATGATATTAACATTTTGCTAAATCAAAGCACTGGCGCGGTTTGTAAATAACTGTACAAAAATTGATTTCTAATACATATTTACAATATGGTACAGCTCTAGATTAGTAATTCTTTAACTCTTCAAACTTTTGTCTACAGTATTCATACACAAAGAAAAAATATATTTACATATTCTTTGTACAGGAAATGTACATTTTAAATTTTTTTTATACAAAACTACATGTTTTCTATGTATGTCACAGGATACACTACACGTTATTGAACACAATATATGTCTTTAAAGCTGTTACACAAATCTACATGCATATATAATATTATGTTAAACACAGATTTTATTTAATTTAAGGAAAAAAACATTAACAAAAACAATGTCACACAATTTTTTTCTAATAAATTAAGCAAACAATCAAACAGAAATCTCTCGGTCATTTATTAAACAATTTTACAGGATAACGGCAATTCTATATACACACAGCATAGTCACATGACAGTCACATGACATATTTTATTCATAACACAGCCAGATATGACATATTGAATAACAATAAAAATTTCTTTTATTTCACAAATCAAGAAAAGTTATCCTTTTTTCCCCAAAAACAATTCTTTTTTTCCCTCTGTGAACAGATATACAAGTAATCATCTTTGTCAAATGTTGTATTCTTTGAGAAATATGTTGTAAAATACTGCTTAAGAAGGTTCAAATTATGTGAAACATTCATTAACTGTTAAATATGTTTCAAAATACATGAAACAAAATGTGAATCATGGAATTCAATAATGTGAAATACTTATTCCATTTTCAAATATGACTCAAAACAATTACTTTTTAAATATCCTTTTAAATATTTACTAATTAATCAGTAAATACAAAAGTTCATACAAAAGAAGGGATATTTTCCAATAAACATTAACAAGAAATAAGTTATCCACTCCCCTTGATATGTTTAAAAGATATCTTTAAAGAAGTAACAACATATTGCATTTTATGAAAAAGTTGAAGACATTGTTTTGTTCTACGGATATATATTGCAGAAATATAATATTATATCTTACAGAATAAAGAATATCACAGGCTTTTTCTACTAGTTCAAAGCAATACTACTAAAAATGTACTATAATCTATATTTGTAAAAACTAAATTTTTATTTTAACTATAAAAATATATCCATTAATAGCAAGCATTACATAAGAAATAATATGTCTGATATAGTTCCAAAAGGAAGCAAATTAGGCCAATTACATAAGAAAATAATCATTAAGGCATAATATGTAAGGCTTTAAATATCCGCATAAATGTTGCTGTTGCTTTTTTTTAAGCAGTGTGTTTAAAAAAACTTCATTTCCTGCAAATTATGTAAACATTTGCAAAGCACTGAATAAAAATCTTTGAACTTAAGAAACTTAAATTATTGTCATTTTTAAAAAAATATGTTCTTTAATATTTAGATATGTGATAAATTGACTTAAGAACTTTTTTTATATAAATATATATCAGAGAAAAAAACATATGTGTAGATGATGAATATATGCTTCAATCCTTCATCAAGTGATGTTTTTATTGCGTGTTAACACATAAAACGCACATAGGATTCAAATGCATGTTGAGCATTGCAATTTAATACACAATATGGCAGTAAAGGCAAACAAGTAAACACAATATTTTTTATTATATTCCAAAAGCAAATAGGAGCATACAATTTTTTTAAAAATCTGATGAAAAAGACTAGGAGTTGGGCTTTTTTTTTCTTCCAAAAATATACATGATATAAAAATATTGCCTTTTTTATTCCATTTTTGGAGAAAAAAATATATGATAATAAATTTGAAATGGTATTTATACAAGATTTAAAAAATGTTCGTGTTTTTTTTCCAAAAAGAATATAAGTTAAAAACAAATCAGTAAAATCATTGTGTTTTCTATGACAGATATTGCTTGTCCTATCTTCAATGAATATTTTAAATACTGCACACACACACAGAGGTATAAAAATGTGTATAACACTGCATATAATTATGTGCTAATGGGTGGGGTAACCACTTGCCACATAGCAGCCGCAGTGAGTAACAAAAGGCTAAATTATGCTTCCCATGTTGTGCAAAGCAAAAATGTCACTGCCTTTAATTTTTACACATTTCTATATTTACAGCCAGTGGGAATACATTTTCTGGCATTGTCCTAACTCCTTGCATACAACTTGATAAATGTAATAATGGAATTCACAATGCAATTTATTGAAATTGCTTCAAAAACTAAAAAAATGTTATTGCACATATTAAAAGATACATCTTTAAACTTTCAAAGCCAAGAAAAATAAATGTCAGTGTGATAACCAAACACTATGAGACTGAAAAACTTGAAAATCTTTAACAATTCTGTCATCCTTTGATATTGACAAGCTCTGAACAGACATAAGCACTTAAATCATTGCTTGAATTTAGTAAAATGACAATGTCTTTATATCTTCAATATTCAGAGTCAAGAATAGAACAGGTACACTTTATGTTCATATTAAAGTGCACTACAGGTGCACATGTAGTGCATGCCAAGTGCATTTCATGTAACCTTTACTGTGAACTCAACTGTAAGTACAAATTCTCTCACTGAACAAACATTTCCTATCTCCTTAATTAACATAACTCTTGATGATAAATTTCTGGCATCTTGAACATTTTAGATGATGTCCACAAAAAGTCTACATAGTTCTCATATAGCTATGTTCTATGTCAGGTTAAGAAATGACCCTCATATGTTTCCATATTTTTGGTGAGATTTACACTTTTAATACAGTTCCACTTGTTGTTTTAATTTCTGTTGTTTCCAGCCAGGTAGATTGTAAAATTCTTCTCTGGTCATCTCTAACACAGCCTGTAATATATTAAATCATCAACGTATTACCATTATATGGTCAAGGCTTCCATTAAATACCAAAATTTGGAAGACAGAGACTCCAAAATGTCTGACATTGCAAGTCATAGGTAAAGAAGGAAAAGCACTATTCATGTATTTTGGAAGTCACAAGACAAAACCAAGTAGTAAATGCCTCCAAAACTTCCACTAATGGAAGCTCTGATTATTGTTCTAATTTAATTTAACAAATTGTAATTATTGACAAGAAATTGTTCTATATAACCAGGATTACATGCATGTGAAAATCATATAAGGCCATTATTCTCTAAGGCTGGCCTTAAATAATATTTTTGTTTCATCTGCTACCCAGACCAAATTCAGTAAGTAGACTGACAGGTAGGTAGGTAAAATATACTTTTTTCTATCTCAAATAGTTTACCCAAACAAGAACTGTCGGAGGACAGTATTGGCTCGACTATTCAAAAATTGTCACAAGGGTGTTTTATTGAGAATAATAATGCTATTTACCTATGAATACATAAAATTGACCGAAAAGGTACAAAGGCTTGTTATTAAGATGTTTTATCAAGTAAATCACTGCTTTATTATTATGAATGCATAAAAATGTCCCAAAAAAGGCATAAACTCTTTAGTAGTTATGGAGATAACAGCTTACAAGCAAAACTTTACCATGAATTTCTAAGTTGAAAAAGGGGAGAAAAATCAGCCTAAATGCAAGATAGAATTATGGATCTTGGTCAATGACCTACAATTATGATTCTAAATGCATAAGGGAAGTTTTAAATAAATATCTTTAATAGTTATTGAGAAATGTAAAACTTGCATGTAAACATTAACCAAGAGACTAAGTAGAAAAGGGGAAATGAATCAGCCTAAATGCGAGTAGAGTTATGGAACTTGGTCAGTGACATACAATTATGACTCTCCAATTATGACCCTAAGTACATGTGTAAAGTTTCAAGTAAATATCTTTGAAGACCTTTAACCTTTAACCAAATTTCTAAGTTTCAAAGGGGCAAATAATTCTGCAAATATTGCAGGCAGAGTTATGCAATTTTTGCAAACTGATGTACATTGTTACTATAAAAAGAATTTTAAATTTCAATGGAATATCTCAAGCAATAATTGAGATATTTGACTTGACAAAAAACTTTAACCAAAATTTCTAAGTTTTAAAGGGGCATAATTCTGTAAATATTATAGGCAGAGTTAATCCAACTTGTCAATCTGATGTACATTGTTACTGTAAATAAGTTTGTAAGTTTCAATTGAATATCTCAAGCATAATTGAGATATTTGACTTTACAAAAAACTTTAACCAAAATTTCTAAGTTAAAAAGGGCATAATTCTGTCAATATTTGTAGACAGAGTTATCCAACTTGTCAAATGTGATGTACATTGTTACTATAAATAAGTATTGTAAGTTTCAATTGAATATCTCAAGCAATAATTGAGATATTTGACTTTACAAAAAACTTTAACCAACGCAGACGCCGACGCGGACGCGGACACCGACGCCGGGGCGACTACAATAGCTCTCATATTCTTCGAATAGTCGAGCTAAAAACTGTTGAGTACTAAGCATTCATTCAAAGCTTGATGCCAAAAAGTTCACACTTTCTTTTTGGAAGCAGTGAATTTTAGTGGGTAGATAAGATAGCATGAGGCGAAACAAACACCATTTTATAAAATCTGCACAATTAAAATTTTACTATAATACTAAGATGTGTTGAACAAGTGAACACTTGGAGTGGAATACCAAATTCAATTTTCAGTACCCCACTTGTACATTTTTTATTATTATTTGATATATAAATTTATTCTGCATGCTATTTCATATCATAAATTGGCCATTTTCTAAATATTTGTAGAATTGAACATGAAAAAACCTTTTTAAAAAAAACAAAACAATCTTACCTCAAATTCCTGATCAGATAAGTATGATTCCAGTTTTAATGGATCCACACCCTCTGGAAGGGGAGTTTCTAGAAGCTCGGCAAACGTGTATCTCGTCTTGGTTAATTTTTTAAGAAGATCTTGTACAGGCACCAGTTCTCCTTCTGTTTTACCATCCTACAATAACACATAATCAACCTTCAGATAAATATTTCCAAGGTATACTGTTATAGGAAATATTTTACCACAAAAAAGGATTTTTTCAAAAAAGGTGAAAAGAAGAAAGTTCAAACTTTGTATGTTACCTTTCTAAACCCCTGATAGTTTTAAAATGACATAGCTTTATATAAATTTCTACACAAAAATCACTTCCCTTTTTTAAATGCAAATTTTTTTTTTCTTCAATAATAATGCAATGATGAGGGCATATATAAGGTCCTATTTCCAATAGGATGGTATCTAAATAATTTTTAGTAATTTTTAGATTTGTTCTTCTATATTTAGTTTCAGAGGAGCTTTTGACGTCTTATATATTTATTTCTAATGATGAGGGAAGCCAGAAATGTTATTCCCCTTTACTTTTCTTTCATTGCTTCCAAGAAATCACCCTCTTTCAGATTATATTTTTTTACAAAAAAAAAACATAACTTAGTCTGAACTCTCTTCATGAAATGTCTGAAATGATCAAATCTAAAGAAAGATAATAGAAGAAAATGAGGAGTTGTATAGGAAGAACAGCTAGAAATCATATTTACTCTTTAAATGGTAATATAAATATTAAGTGAAAGTAAGTATTAAAGAAATAGTTGTAATGCAAAGACAATATATTGCAAAATGACCTTCACCTTGGAACTTTTCTGTTTATTACAATTAATATATTATCATGCTACATGCTGATAAAAATTCTTGACAAAAAGGCCAAAAAGGGGAACCAGTCTCACAAATGTAACAGACAATCTGATTGGTCCGTTTGAAATTTGAATTTGATTTTTGACCAGAGGCAGGATTGCATGCCAAGATTCTTTGCCAGTTTTTTTTAAAAGAAAGGTAAGAAATGGGATAAACTCAAAGGGTTTAGTTAAATTTTGGTGTGATTTGTGGAAAGAAAATATCAAATATTGCTAACAAAGAAGAAAAACCTCAAACATTATTACAAAGGAAAATAAAAACCTTTAAAAATGACAATTCAACATAGTGAAAATAAATCATTTGGTCTCACTCAGATATTCAAAGACAAGGGGGGAAAAAGATGAGAAAATATTAGGCCAAGGGAAACATGTATATTAAAAGCTATGCATGTTAAACTGATGATATGATGTACATTGAACTAAGCTAACATGGCATAGAGATAGTATAATATGCTGACATGATCCAGTAATGTTATGCTAACATGATCCAGTAATGTTATGCTAACATGATCCAGTAATGTTATGCTAACATGATCCAGTTATGTTATGCTAACATGATCCAGTAATGTTATGCTAACATGATCCAGTTATGTTATCCTAACATGATCCTGTAATATGTTATATAAACCCTTAACCTGCTGAATTTCTTAAATTGACTTTTCCAGCTTCCATTTTTGGACATAACCATTATCAATTTTAGGTGCATCAAGATGAAAATTTGAAGCTGGTAAGCCAACAGTATTGTTTTGTTTTGTTATTTGGGTTTTTAGTTGGCAACAATACTGTTAAAAGTCAAATGGTGACTTCCCAGCTTTATCTGGTAAATGAAAGGCCCTCAGTGCCTCCACACACAACAAAAAACTGAGTAGCTGGATAGCTTCTAACATGAAAAACTGAAGTTCTGTGGGGGATTCCAAACCCACCTATGCTCTCTAACTGGTCACATTTTGGGTTCAAGCCATGGTAAAAGGTTTAAATCTATTCTAACATGAGTTTTATGAATACAGGAAAAAAAAATACAATATATACAATTATATATAAAACTTTTAGCTTTTTCATCTTTAGTTATACAATAAAATTCTCTATTGCCATTTAAGCAGCTTAACCTCCAGATTTGAGCTTTTTATGTAAATTATTGTCAAGGAAGCAAATTACTTGATTTATTTTGTTTATATATAATACAATGTGGATCAAAATATGCAGAAATAGTCATAACTGTAAGAATATTCAACTATTTATATACAATGTATACATGTAAGTGGTAGATTAAGTCATGTATTATTGTAAAATTTAAAAATGTCATAATTCATCCACTGAGAATATTTATAAATACATTGTACATTTTTTAAGATCTTCATCTATTTTTTTGTAAATTTTAAATTTAATGTACTTATCAGGAGGTGAAATGCTTTAGAGAATGATGCTCATTTTTTCACAACATCTTTTGGGGTTATTCATGACTTTTGGCAAATTAAGTTTTATAACTTTAATAAATATTCAGGTTTCCAAAATAAAAAATGCGAAAAAAACAAAATTTTAACAGTTAATACATGTAAATAATGAACAAGTGACATATATGATACATGATGTGCCATAAAATATCCAAATTTCAACCACAAATTACTGTAGCTGCCATATGTAACTCTGAATCAATGTTTAGTCATGTTTCTGTTTGGAATGGCAGCTTCCCATAAAACTTCCAGTAAACTAAAATTTAATGTTCTTGTTCAATTGAGATAAAGCCTTGATGCCTTTTATGTAGCTAATGCCAAATCAAACAAGAGGGCCATGATGGCCCTAGATCGCTCACCTGAATTATCAAACTCATCCAAACAATTACCTAGACAAGCATTCTGACCAAGTCTCATGACAGGTGAGTCAAAAATGTGACCACTACAGTGTTAACAAGGATTATCCATATTTGAGCAGTGCGACCTAGTTTTTTACCCAGGTGACACATATTCAAACTTGACCTAGAAATCATCAAAACAAACTTTCAGACCAATTTCCAGGATACTTGGATCAAAACAGTAGCAACTAGAGTGTTAACAAGATTTTTCTATTTTTAGCTCCGGTGACCTAGTTTCACATGCGATTTCGAACTCATCCAAGCAATTACCTAGACAAGCATTCTGACCAAGTTTGATGATAATGGAGTCGAAAATGTGACCACTAGAATGTTAACAAGGTTTTTCCATATTTGGGCGGTGTGACCTAGTTTTTCATCCAAGATGACCCATGTTCGATCTTGACTTAGAAATCATCAAAACAAACTTTCAGACCAATTAACAGAATATTTGGATCACAACAGTAGCCACTAGAGTGTTAACAAGATTTTTCTATTTTTTAGCTCTGTGACCTAGTTTTTCATCCGAGATGTCCCATGTTCGATTTATTCCCAGCAATGACCTAGACAAGTTTCCTGACCAAGTTTGATGACAATTGAGTCAAAAATTGTGACCACTAGAGTGTTAACAAGGTTTTTCTATTTTTAGCTCCTGTGACCTAGTTTTTCATCCGAGATGACCCATGTTCGAACTCATCCGAGTTATTACCTAGACAAGCATCTTGATCAAGTTTGATGATGATTGATGCAAAAATGTGACCGCTAAAGTGTTAACAAGGTTTTTCTATTTTTAGCTCCGGTGACCTACTTTTTCATCCGAGATGACCCATGTTCGAACTCATCCAAGCTATCAACTAGATAAAGCATCCTGACCAAGTTTGATGATGATTGATGCAAAAATGTGACCGCTAGAGTGTTAACAAGGTTTTTCTATTTATAGCTCCGTTTGACCTAGTTTTTTCATCCGAGATGACCCATATTCGAACTCATCCGAGCTATTATCTAAACAAGCATCCTGACAAAGTTTGATGATGATTGGGTTCAAAAATGTGACCACTAGAGTGGTCACAAGGTTTTTTCTATTTTTAGCTCCTGTGACCTAGTTTTTCATTAGAGATGACGCCATGTTCGAACTCATCCAAGCAATTGACTAGACAAGCATTCTGACCAAGTTTTGATGATGATTGGTTTCAAAAAATGTGACCACTAGAGTGTTTCACAAGGTTTTTCTATTTATAGCTCCTGTGACCTACTTTTTCATCCGAGATGACCCATGTTTGAACTCATCCGAGCTATCACCTAGACAAACATCCTGACCAAGTTTGATGAAGATTGGGTCAAAAATGTGACCTCTAGAGTGTTCACAAGTTTTTTCTATTTTTAGCTCTTGTGACCTAGTTTTTCATCTGAGATGACCCATGTTTCGAACTCATCCGAGCTTTTCAACTAGATAAGCATCCTGACCAAGTTGATGATGATTGAGGCAAAAATGCGACGCTAGAGTGGTTTCACAAGCAATTGTGGACGGTCCCCCCCCCCCCCGGACGGACGACGGACGACGGACATTCATCGATCCTAAAAGCTCACCCTGAGCAAGCTCAGGTGAGCTAAAAAGTAATCAGAAACCCTAATAAACCCTTATGAATAAATACTAAGCTTGGTTCCATTTTTGAATAAATAAATATAGTCATGCATCAGCTGACACATGATTATTTAAACTTTATGTATATTATATGCCATTAACAATATAATGGCTTACATTCTGGCCATAAATTTTCCATTTTTAGAACAAACCCTCTTTCCTAATCATGCAAGGATGCATAAATCTTGAATAAATTAACTTTCATTTAAGGCACATCTTTTTTTTTTTACAGAATTATGAAAATGCTGATTTTTATCTTGGATATACAGGTATGCGGGTTAAAAAACTGGTTAAAGTCCTCAACAACAACAACCTCATCAGTATTCCCAAACCAATAAAAGACCAAAAACTATCTATTTACATTTTTAAGTATTCATCTGACAGAGTAAATATTTCTCAGCTCCACCCTTTAGTTACTTAAAATAATCTTTTCCCTTTCTTTTCCCCATCCATCAAAGGCAAGGCTTTCTAAGATGATGTGTCGCATAAGCTACCAGTTGCAGTAAGGCCGCCCCCCCCCCCCTCAACTATCCTATCCCACTATGCCCCTATTTTCCTATCATTTTTCATATGCATGATATTCACTTGCCAGAGATAGTTAAATTCAATCTACTCCAATTAAAAATAATTGAGGAAACTACTTGCAAATTTTTGAAAAATAGAAATGGGACCTCCAACCCCAACACCCCCTAGTTCTAAACAACTAACCACATATCCAAACACATTCCAGTGCCATCCCCATTTAAAGTTAAATTTATATCAATTGTAAACGAATAACAAATCCTGCCACCGTTGTAACAGCTAAATAATTAGAATCGCCCTTTCGAAACGATGATTATGAATAATCAATAGCTCCAAGGAAATTAGTGTAGCAGCCGCTACCGCATCGTTAGTCCGAAATGGCAATTAGAACATGCACCATAAATCTTAAAGACATATTGCAATGTCCAAAGGGCAAGTAAGATGGAATACTTATTCACAAATAGAGCAGAAATTAATTTTCAAAAAAACGGGCCGATAGTAACGAACTGGAATGAATGTAACTCCTGTTCGCCATAGAATCGCCACCTGCCCCGCTGGTCTGATGAGGCCAACAGAAAATGTGAAGGTTAACATTACATTAATAATATAATTATTCTTTTCTTGCATTAAATAAAATGATTAAATAATATTTAAGTAGATTCTTTTCATGAATTCAAAAATGGATTAATAAGTAATATTTAAGGAGATTCTAATAAAAAAGGAAAGAGAGAAGAATATTTCATCATATCTATAAATAGTTATTGACAACATTAATACTATGTTAAATATAGTAACACAATTACACTGTATCTATTTTATAAAAAATATCACATTTATCATTTTATCACATTTATCATTACAAAAAATGTGAAAATAGAATATGTAAAGTAAAAAATCTCAACAACTTGCCAAACTCATTTTCTTTCATTTTTCTTTAAAACTAAAAAGTTCCTATTCGATGCAAAATTTCACGTTTGATTTTCCTTGCAATTTGAAATGACTACAGAAGTGCTTATTAAAACTAAATACAAAGAAGATTGAAGTAGACATCTTTAGGCATTTCAAATACCGAGAGGGTAGAAAAGAATTTGTAGATGGCAGCTTTTAAAAAGAAGGGTTATCAACAATTAAACGCCGCCGCCGATAGAAGACTGACCCGTAAGTTTATTTCCCATACACATTTTCATCTACCGTCCGGGAATCGGGAACAGATTAGTAAATGACCAGTGCGTTCAAGTCCGGGCAGGATACCATTGGGTTAAGCGGGGGGACTTCTCTGGATTGAAATCTGCTGAAAGTCTATATGTTACATTTGGGTTGCTGTTCGCAACCAACACAAGTATAGCGAAGAGAAGCTGCCAGCTTTAACTGGATGTAGAGAATGACCTCGTAATCTTGACGGTTGCGAATTATTCGAAGTGATGTTTGGAAAGCTATATTGATAGCTTCCTCACATGAAATAATCCAAAGTCCCTGTCGGGATTCAAACCCAAAGCCGAAAGAGGCTAGTGGTTTGTAGTCAACAATGTTAACAACTAGATGAAATATCAAATACGCCATATATAGGAGTGTTAAGCATTATAACTGAGTTTAGTTGGAGCCCACCCCCGTTTAAAGTGGAAAAATTGCGCAGACAGTAATTTTATGCATACATCAACTAAAACTAAAACCCACATTGATGAGGTTTAAACTCTATCTTTCCGGGGGCAAATGTCATTGTTTCCTTGATGAAGGAAACTTACACTCATGCCCAGCCACTGGTTGGCCTAGAGTGGTGTTTAAAAGCTTGTTAGCTCCATGGTTCTTTGCTCTGCACTTGATTGCATAGATAGAATAATTCCATCCGCAAGCTGTAATGTTATATGACGATTGTTCCAATCAAAATTTACGTTGTGCGAATAAGCCCACATACTCATTTCAACAATATGCTCTTGCCCTATATTAAACCAAAAATGAGATACTCGTTTACACATGAAGCCAATGTTGTTTCCATTGCCATCTATCTGTCGGCCAGTGAATCGTGTTTGAGCAGAGCCCCGTCAGAACAATTCGCCTGCTCCTCATCTCCTTCTCGCCACCAACCCATAAGTAATTATATATAATATTAAATACATGTACAGCTTTATATACACAATAACACAACACTCTCACCATAATATTGATAATGGTTGAGGTATAAAATTGTAAAATGGCCCTTTTGAAAAAAGGTCGCCGCCCGGAAAGCCCATTATGGAGTACCATACACTCAGTCGGGTCATCCTTGAAGCGTCCCGCCGACGATTCTTTCCGTATTCAAATTTTTTCCATGCTTTTATTGATGGGGAAAATCCAGGTTGCCCTTTCAGATTGATTTCAGGCTCGACGGGCCACCCGGGACTTAGAACTCACTGACCTTCGCTAAGCCAGCTGGATGTGCTTCCTCACAGTGAGAAGATTTTGGACCCCAAGTGGCAGGATCTCGAACTCTACAGGCATGTGATAGGACCAGTTGATCTCAATGTCATTGTAGACCAGTAACCACTTTGGACCAACACGGAGGCCAATACAATTGACTTTCAGATTCCCATGTACAAAGTTTTATATAGCGCTTGATCACATGACATCTTACCTGCCCCAACCAAAATAAACTTATCGATGTCCAGTATCTAATATCTGATATACACGGAACAGCAGCTTGGTTGCTGAGCCATGTAAAGATCTGTCTGGAGGGCTGGAAACTTTGTTGGTAGTTCCGGTGTACGTGTTGGATTCAGAATTTCATGTGCCTCAAATATACCGGACACACTAGTCATGTGAAATAATCGTAATGTATGGTTGAAAGACTTGGGGTCTGAAAGACAAAATGAATTTCTTGATTGAAACTGCATTCAAAAGCAATCATACATGCAAATTTATATAAAATGTTCATAATTTTAGCAGACCCTCACCCCTTCTATGCACTATTTTTTTAATAGAAATGTTATTATGATTTATTTCTATATTGATTAATATAATTAGTAAAATACTGTTCATATCAGAATGCCTATCTATGTAAACTGAGCAAAGTATGAAATGAATGTAAAATGCAGCACATTTTTTACTTAGGTAACAAATTTTAATATTTTATATCAAATGAAATAAGCCATTTTTTTAAATTTTTTTTTTTAAAATACAACCATGATAAAATACAGTTATCTATATAATATAATCATAAGAAAACTTACTGTCGAGTAGACAGTGATATTTAGACCGGTCACCTATATGTACATTGACCATTCTCCAGAAATCTGTACGTTCTTGACCTTCCTCTACCTCAGAGATGCTCAACTATCAAACCTGCGTTAGCCCTACCCTCCAGGGGACATCTAAAACAATAAGTACGTCTGGTCCGATATCATTAATATTATCTTACTGTTTCCCTATAAAACTCTTACAATATTTCAGTTCCTTGGTTAAAAGTAGTAACTTGAACATGTATAGTGTTATAGCTATTAGTATAGCTATCGCATACCAGACCACCACGCGTCCGACCCACTGCGCACCGCCCCCGGGACCCACCCCCGCCCCCTACCACCAACTTCACCGGCAAATCAAACTGCCCCCCCCAAAACCCCCCACTACCACAAACAAAACAAACGACAACCGCCCTGAAAGACGGACCCGCCCGGCCGCAAAAAAAAAAAAAAAAAACTTCATCAACACCGGCCCACCCCGGACCCCCCCAACCGCCCTCAACCGGAGATCATGACAAAGGAAAAAATAGTATGTATAGTTGGTCATATGGTGACTTTTTTTCGAGCTTTACTTTGGTGGAAGTTTTGTTACAATTATATCAGCACCGAATTGCCTCACACTGTGGCGTTCGAATCCTGACAGGCGACTTTGGATTCTTTCATGTGTGAGGGCGAAGCTATCCAACTAGCATTACAAAGCGTTATTAGGTGGTTCTACTCATAGGTGCCAATTTTATGTGCCCTGGAAATAATCCACAAAAGGGCACCTGAAGTCTTCCTCCACCACTAAAGCTGGAACGTCGCCACATAAGCTATACTGTGTCAGTGTGACGTAAAACCCAATCAATCACATAAAAAATTTCAGGCACAAGCGGGCACTCAAGTAGAACCACTGACATTTAGTAAGTTGCAGGAATGAAAACATTTATAGAACTGCTATTAAGGTGATGGTATGATATTTAATGCTATGTAGTATATTTAATGAAAAAGTTTATAAAAAGTAAATGATTATTTTTAAAATTAAAAATCATAAAAAGTTTTTAAATCGTGCTTTATTGGTGTAATGGCCAGTATGGGTCTTTTCTCCTGGGTACTTTGGGGAGCAACGTTGTACCAAAAAAACTGACAGTTACCTTTTTATAAACTCAATATTATCTTAGAAAAAATTGTAAAAAAAATGTTAAAAATTTTTGCAATATCCCCTTTTTTTAAGTTATCAGTGCTTTCTTTGCTATTTCCCTGGTATTTTCCCGGTGACTCATCGTGCACCCGTTCTTTCCAGTCACAACATTGAGTAGTATACAAGAAGAAACACTGCGTAAATTACTAATGTCTTTAGGCACTTCAATTAAACACATTTCATTTTCGTATTCGTTTCTTAGACAATAAAATCTCCATGGCCCCTGAGTATTTGTCTCCTCCTCCTCGCGTTTTCCGATGTGAATAATTGTCCGACCCTTGAACAGGTTCAGAAAGCAAGGTGGCTCCTTTCCTTCTGAGACTCGAACCTGTAAGTAAGTAAGTTAGTAAATAAGTAACGATATTCAATGAGGCTAGCACAATCGGTTTCCTGATCTCCCATGTGGGCCTTGAAAAAGGTGTTAAACGTTATTGCTGTTAACATATGGTAATACGTGGTCATCATTACAATAAATGTATATCAAACCTCCAGTACATAAATGCAAATATGAAAACAAAGTTTACTAAATAATGGAGTTGTTACTGTTTAAGTCTCTTAATCACACTGAACAGGCACCAAATCATTACATTCACTTTAATATTACATTTTTGTGGGTTCTGAAATTCGTGGACTGTTTATTTTTCCAAGAGGCAAAATGTAAATAATGTGATGCAAAATAATCTTACAGCAGACAGAATGAATTTTGCACAAGATTTTTCAGGAACTATATCATTAAATCAGGTTTTCCACCATATGTGATAAAAACTGTGACACATGTGAGGGCGTTTAATGGAAATTTGATTAAAATCTAGTAAGACTAATGTACGAGAAAGAAATTGTTTACACCTAGCAGCCTTCAGGCTGGCTAAAAGATATAACAATAGTTCAGTTAAGTAACAAAATTTACCTGAGGCCCTCTTTCTTCATCCAACTCTACGGTCATGAGCGCAGAGGCCCCTTTTTCATTAATGGTTGAACTTTTGCCCTGCCAGAAGAAGTACGCACATCTCTCTCTGCCCATCTGAGAAAATCTTGAAGCGTTCCCCTTTAAACTTTTCATACCCGCATTAACAATCATGTACTGCCATCGTACAACGTACGTGTCGCCCTCGTGAAACTGGCCGTAACTATGATCTTCTATTTCATAATGGTCGTATTCCAACACATGCCACACGCGGACTTTACGTGTTTGAATTTCCTGCTCTTGTATGAAGCCATCCATGTCTTGTTCCCTGTAATATATTTATCAATTTGTAATAATGCCTAAAATGGTTTGTCAATATTTTCAACTGTTTTCTCATATTTTACAATATTTTCAACTGTTTTCTTATACAGTGAAAGTTGAGAAAACCGGACGGCTTTTGGACCAAGGGTTTTGTCCGGTTTTCTCAGCGGTCCGGTATTCTCAATGTCCCTTTCAGCTATTCAGGATCCTATAAACCGAGCAATAACTTACAAAGGATGTTGAAGGTATATTTGCATTTTCATGATCATGAGTAAGTATATTGCTTAATAAAGAAATGATATAAATACTATACAATATGTTTTAATTGTTTTTGTCCCATTATTGCATGTAAATACAATAAAATTTTGGATTTAAATGAACAGCAGTTACCTCATAACGATAAAGTCCGATTACACCCGCATATGTTTGCATTTGGGTAATGGATAATGATTTAACGAACATAGTTTACTTTATTTGTTTATAATAATGCCCCAATTGTAAATATTGCCTATACCATATTTGTCAGATAGAGCTTTTTAAAGTAGGTCTCTGCAAAGTTTCACTGTCTTTAACTAATTTAAATTTGTCACTTATAGACAGCTCTCGTCAAATTCTTTTAGGCTATGGAATAGAACTTAGCGCTGATAAATGTCGTTTCAGTTGCGTTGTCATTTTGGGAAATGAATATACAAAAAGCAATGCAGTATAATAATATTCTATTTTTCATTCATACTGATTTTAACTGATCAATTTCTCGTGCATTTTGGCATTTATATAAAACGGTAACATCTATACGTTACAATGAATCAAACTGTAAAAAGAGATATAATTAACAAATCAGACAATTATTGTTCCGTTACCGCTCAGTTAGCGTATTAGACACAACCAATTGATAAGTACACAAGGTTATTCACACATTCGTCGTCCGGTATTGTCAGGGTAATTGTCTATATAATGGACTTTGTAGTCCCCTCTCAACCGTCCGATATTCGGTTTTTACAGATTCCGGTTTTGTCAATGTTTAATACAATAGTTTAAATAAGGGAAAATTTGGGACTGAATTATTCGTCCGGTATTTAGAGAGTTCCGATTTTCTCAGCGTCCTGTTTTCTCAAATTTCACTGTATACTGAAACAAAAAAGAAACTTTCTCCAAGTTTGAATGTAGACATGTTAGTAGTTTTTCAATCCTTTTGAAACTCAATTTTTACGTTGAATAAACATATCGGGCTTTTATACAGGGATTAGCTGACCGATTTTGCAAACAAAACGAGTTTTACAAGCTACTACATGTATATATGTGTGTACATCAAAGTGGTACCCTTGAACAACTGGCACATACTTTGCGAAAGTTTCTTTTTTGGTTCAGTATATATTTCAACCAGGGTTGTTTGAATCATTTCAGATTATTCCAACCCACATACATATCAAGTCTATCAACATCTAGATCAAAGATGCTATGTTGGTTTTTACATTAATTCTTTCATTTCAAATTCAACACATCTTTTTGGGGACAATCCTGAACAACAGGGACAACCTGGACATTATGGGAGTTATTGCATGCATGCCTGCATAAGAATTACAATTTTGGTTCTAAGCCAAATTGTCTAACCGACTGCCTTTGTAAAAGATATTCATAGAACAGATAAGCTTAAGCAAAACTCAATGAAAGGGTCACAATACTGACACACAAGAGTTCTGGCCCTTTAATGTTTTTTTTTTAATGATTATTTATGACAAGAAATTCATGACAAAAAATAAGTACACACTTACCATTTTGTACCTCTACCAACGTGAGATCCTTCTAGCGCCATGGAAACCGGTTTTGTATCAACTGGTACCATCAATGTAGCATCATAGGCCTTCAGGTCAGCAAGGTCAAACTATAAATAGCAACAGTTATGTTCTATAAATAGATTCAGCTTAATGTATAGAAACATAATGTATATATATAGGAAATTTAAATATAGATTAACTCAGTAAATGCTAATTTCAACTACTCCAGACACTGTGCCACTTATGAAAAAAGCAAACTCAACAGTGACTTCAAATAATCATTTTTCACAAGTATTTTATCATTATTCCTCATGTACAGACTCGATCAAACCAAGTCTGCAATTTTCATGTAATTATGTTGTGATTAATGCTTCCAAGGGATCACATTTTTTCCAGATTATTTTTCATTTCTACATACAAGACAGTAAAAGAAAGTGGTGGTTAAGAAGCAAAGATGCTTGCTCTTCAGACAAGATATTCTGGGTTTGAGCCCTTCTGCAGTCATAATACTTTCTCATATAACACCAGTGCTAGTTATTCTAAGAAGCTTATTTGAATAAGATTGTAATAAGTTTGTCACAATTGAGCGTAAATAAATGAATTTTAAACTAAAATGTTTTCAACTATCAAAATAGTGATTATGTTATACAAACCTTTGTAGTATTGACCTCTTCTTGACTTTTGACCTTAATCAACCTTGAAGTATCTGGCCAATCAGCAAACTTCTCTCTGAACAATATAGTCTCCATGTTCTCATTGACCTTGCCAAACAGTGCCCAGTCTGGCCTCTTATCACATACAGAAGGTGCTCCTCCTTCATCCTCAGCTGTGAAAATAAGTAGGTCAAGGTCACAAGAAAATAGTGTGAAATAAGTAGGTCAAGGTCACATGAAAATAGTGTGAAATAAGTAGGTCAAGGTCACATGAAATAGTTCAAGGTAAAATCAACATGTTAAAGTTTTGCAAGAGATAAGTAAATTTTACAGCATTTAATGTATTGATTTTTTTATATGTAAACATAAAACAACAAGAGTTTACTTACTTCTTAATGGGGATACAGGATTGACCTCACATTTACTGTAATCATACCCCTGGCTCCACAACTGTTGAGCAAGTTTGAGGGAAATCTTACGCTGATTCGGAGGCACAGCTTTACCTTGCCATAAATACAACTCACTTCCAAAATCAAATACAAACACCTGCAATAAATCAAATATGAAGATTATAAGATTTTTTGTTATTTTGTTGGTAGCTATGTTCATAATTGATACAGACCAACCTCTGGAAAGAAACATTCTTTGGGAGACCAATATTTTCATTGAAGCAAATAAGAACTAAAATTAAATTTTTTTTTATCTTGGGTTTTTGGGCAAACAAGCAATATAATGGTCATACTGTGCCTTTCCGGCCTAACTTGTGGGGAAAGACATTTCATGCCACTGTTTTATTTAATGTAATGAATTGGTAATTGAGTAGAACCAAAAACTTTCCATAACCTAGCCAAATAGCTTCTACACATGAAAGAATCTTTAAGTCGAGGCTAGGATTTCAAAATTACAGCAGTGAAATAAACATAGAAGTCAAAATATGAAACACAACTGTACCTGACTAGAATGTAACATTTCATATTTGGGTTGGTTCCCCCAGTATTCTTGTTCGGGAACCAGTTTATTCTCCTCGAGCTTGTAAATCATGTTAGTTTCTACAATATGGCTTTCATAAAGTTCATCCTCCTCTGTGGGGCCAGATGCTGTAATGATTAAATAAAACATGTTCATATTTACCCCTTCCATACTAGAACAGAATTGGATTAGCCATTGCCACCAGAATAAATGTCCCCAGGGGCAGTTTTTCACAAGGTTTCAAATAAGGAAATATTTAAGGGGACCCAAAGGGCCCTTTTTGGGGTTTAAAGGTGTTTTTTTTTTTTTTTCCTTTCCCCCAAACCCAGAGACCCATGGTTTGAACACTACTCTGGTCAAGATCATTTTTTCTTCATTTTGACATAAGTACGGGGTTTGGTTTCCCAGGAATTTGGACCGAAAGTGTTTAAAAAAATAATTTGGGAAAAAATTGTTTTCACTATAAAGGGCTTAAAAAAATTTTGTTTAAATTTTTTTTTAAAAAAAAAATTTCTATAGGGGCTGTTCCCCAAAATTAAAAATTTTTTTAAAATCTCTGAAATTCCAATCTCTGACACTTTAGCAAACAAACTATTTCATTGGAACATAACAAATGAAAAACCTAACCAGACACAAGCATATTCCAGGACCGATTCATTCACTTCACATGAACTACCATAAGCTAACACGGAAGTTTTTTTTTAACACAAAAGTATTACATCTTAACATCTGAACCTACAGACTTCTATAAAACACTTTAAACTTCCAATCTAATATACAGATATTTATACCATGTTAAAAAGTCATTCCTAGAAAAAAAAGTCTTCTTTAACAATTTAATGAAACAAGATTATAGATTTACCCATATAAGGTTTATGACCGCCGAGAAGATCCCAGAAATGGCGAGCATTACCCAGCCTGCCTTTCTTCTCCTCCACGATGGTTACTTCTCGGGCTTGTTTACAACCAAGATCACGTTTTTGTTTAATAAAATCACAGACATCTGCAGCCTGTAGAAAAAAACATCACAATCATAATATCACATTTAGTGAAGCCAAAAAAAATTTTTAGTATTGAGTTTGTATAATTATCCTCCATTTTTAATAACAAAGAAAATCAAAATGAAACAATTATGTATATTTATTTTGGCTGGGCTTATAGTAAAATTGACACAGTACAAGACATAAGTTTTTCGGCTTCACATGTGGAGGAAGTCCTCACATCCTTCTCTGTCAGGGTTTTCATTACTAACAGATTGGTGATCCACATTTTGTTACTTTTATGACAAATCATTTTATATTCAACATTTCTTTCTACAAGTGATAAAACTTAAACATGCAGTGTGCTCTAAATCAATTATCTAAACATCATAAAACTCATGTCTAACCTTTCTAAAGAAAGAAAAAACTTATTTATTTCTGAGGCATAATGTACCTTTTATTCACATTATTTTACAAAGATTTGGTATGATATCAATAAGATAGTCCTCTTACTCATTTAAAATGTAAAAATACTCCCATTACTTTCTTGAATTGTTAGCTCTAGATTACACATTTTTATCCTCTTTTGTTTTCTTACAACTTAAGCGATTTCACAGCAGTGTGAAAACAGTTTCTTGTACAAACAAAACCCAACTTACTTTGGCTTTTTCTATCACATTGCAGTAATCACCGACCCAGTTAATAATTTTGTCTGGCGTTACCAGTACATAACAATCACCACTGTTAACTGACTCCGCCTTTGGCTCGACTAAGCGACATTGCACTTTTCTTCGGCCTGTAAATTCAAATAAAATGACAAACAGTGATGTTATCAAGCGATAAAATCACTGCTTTGGATATATTATTTCGATTCTAACACGACATTAACAAATAAATGTTGTGGTACATGATAGTTAAGCAAAATTCCGTCTGATTTGTTCCGAACTTATTTTCAGCGCGTCGGATTTTTAGTGGTTACGTCACGTGTATAATGATTACGTCACATGTCTAAATATAGAACGTCAAACTGTGCATCTGTTGCATAATAACACACACTTTCTGTTCTTCTATGTTCAATAGGGAAAAATGCGGGTCGTGTTAGAATAGACGACAACTACTCAACTTTGACCATACAGTACGCAAATCATGGCAAAACAATCGTTTAAACACATTTGTTTCCAGTAATCAATCGAGAAAAATGAACAAACAACAAAACATGAATAACCGACCAGTAACTATCACTTACTGCACAAGTGACTGACTATTAACCCCTACATGACTTTGAAATCAGTGGTGACAGAAAAATAAGACTTAATGTACAAGATGAAACTTCACCTTGCCTAACGAGCAACTAAATGATTCCTGGATTAATTATATGATGCTCTCCCTATTGAACTAAGCAAGCGACAGCTCTGCCTGTACATAAATGAAGTTTGGCAATACTCTGTACCTTATTCCATTATCTTTTTTTTTATTATAAAATCCCTATAAATCAGAATGGACATTTACAAAACAGGACAAGTATTGAACCAATAAATCACAGTAAGAATTAATCAGGAAGTCAACAGATTTATCGGAACTGACCTTTGATATGTATGAGCATTAGAGGAAGATATGGTTCCAGTCTTGAGTTAGATCCTGAGGAACCAGCCCCATTAGAATCTGTCTTTCGTAACTCCACCTTGGAAAAATTCTCCTTGCTAGCAAGTCCTGCCAATGCCTCCACAGCGAAGCCAGAGTTCTGTTGCACTGTACAGATAAAATATAGGATAAAAAAGGTAAATGATAAAACCACTACAAAAAGTTGTTCAAATACAGGAACATTTGTCACTTGTGGTAAAAACTATAATTGAGGCACGCCATGACAAAACCATAATAGTGTGTTTGGGACCAGCATGGTAATAGACCCTTTATATGGTTTGTAAGCGAACAGCATGGATCCTGATCAAACTGCACGGATGCGCAGGCTGGTCTGGAATCATGCTGGTTGCAAATGCATTATTTTGGTTTTATCATGGGGCGGCTCATATTAAAATCAATTATATATCGTAAATAAAACAATGTTAAATGAAAACTACATCTGTGAAAACTAGAAAAGTGTCTTAGGAACACAGTGCTCCAAATATTGCAATATCTTGTGTCTTTAGAACATGCCCCCAATATTTTAGTGTCTTGTTAGTCTACAGACTGACACTATGACAGACAAGGGCAAATCTTTATACACCCCTCCCCAAACTCCACCTCCCCCAACTCCAAACTATGTATTGAGGGAATAACAAGAACATGCTGGTACATATTCCAGTTCATCATAACATTAAATTCAATTCAGTTGCAATACCCAGCATATAAATGGAGGTTAAAAAAAAAGATATAACATAGAAAGTATTCCACTACAGTAGACAAAAAAGTAAAAAGATGCTTAGCTAAATGCTATAGAAGAAGATTTACCATGTAAATGGCATTTGTTTCCTATGCAGACACACAAATAAACCATTTAAAGTCACATTCAAATTGTGTAACACATAAGCAATGCATTATCTCAACATCTATTTCATATATTCGTATGTCATTAGTAGAACCATTTGAGGTTAAACAAATGAACCAAACAATGTGGAAAAATATATTATGTAACATCTGAAATATATAACTTACATGCTGCAACTTTGACACTCTTTAACTCCCTCTCTGCCACACCATGAATAACCTCTGTGTACTCAGATTTGACCTCTAAACATGCGGACATTGTTTTAAGTGGATTTCTACTTTTTGTGTTGTAACGCCTCTTTGGTTTTACTCTTCTTGTGGTCTCAAGCCTAAAAATATGATTGAAATGAAATGGTTAATTAAGCTTTTTTAAATTCTTAAAGCGAAAAAAGGATGGTTTTATCTTCAAATATTGTAAAATAATTACTTTTTCTCAGTGCTATTCAAAATAATTTTTTTTTTTAAATACATGTATTTTTTACCAGGGCTTGCCCAACACTGTTGCCTCATTAAATAAAGTTGTTACTTACTTACCTTGCTAAATTTTTTTTAATGAACTTGTCCATCTTACAGTCTGGACAAAACTTTTGTCATTTTATATTATAATAGCAAACAGTGCAGCCATGAGAACAAGGCACAGATGTGTCGTCTAATCATGGTCTGCACTGGTCACATGGGTGGATTCAGTTGCTGCCAGCAGAGTAAAGGTTGAACTATGTGTGATATTTCACAAAACTCCAGTTACAGTGGCCGAACATTTCATGATTATGTTAAGTGAACTGATATAGTTCATATTGGTTTATTGTTCAGTGCAAGGATAATCTTTTTCATAAAAAATATAACTCATTTGCTGGTACTTTAACCCTCATGTGACTAAATATCTTAAATGGACTTGTTGATCTTTTGATCTGAACAAAAACCACTGAATTTAAATTAAAATTTCATATTATGCACTGACTGAATAGCATATAGTGAAGACCATAATCAGACGTCATGGATGACCTATTTGACACCATGACGTCTCATCTATTTGCATAGGTAGAATCAGTGGCCACTAGCAGGTTATGAGTTAATTGACAGGCACCTCTTACAGAGAATACAAGTACTTACATGTCATTTGCTTCCAAAAATAACTCATTAAAATCATCGACTGAGACATCTAGTTCTTCAGATTTTATGGAAACTTTTTCACTGGTTTGGAAGAAGCTATCTAACTCTGCCCCTACTTCTGGTACAGCAACTGTAGAGCTGCTTTTTTCTTCCTCCACTGCCGTGAACTTTGCCAATGGGGACTGACCTTTAATATTTATAATAATAATGATAATAATAGAAACAAAATATGATGTATAACTGACTTTATAAAAAGTTTATACATTGTATAAGAGAATTGAACCATGATTTTGATAAAAGTACATCTTCATTTACCTAACCAACTGATATTATAGAAACCTAAATTGCAAGTTATACTTCTGATAAAAATTCTGTACTTTATAGTAGCTTGATACCCCCATCCAAAATATTAATTCAGACATTATGAGTTTGTTTATTCAGTTTGTATGCTGCTTTTAACACATTACTTGGTAATATCTCAGTATTCCACCTGAACAACTAACCAGTAATTAACTATTCCCTGCCAGTGATCGACTACTTATCTCACATGATTTCTAAATCAGTGGTGAGAGGCAAATGACCATTAGACACAATATGTCAATGAAATCATTGACAAAGAACATTTACTAAGCACCTGAGGATCAAACCATCGACCCCTTGGATTTCATATTCAATACTCTTCCATTCAAGCCAAGCGGGCAGACACAAAAACATCTTGAAGAGACCATATAAGCTTGGAATCTTGTAACATGACTACATCATCAGCTATCTCATTAAAATCATTTCCTAACTGACACTCCACTACCTCTGGGTAGTTTAGACATAGTCGAGAGTAACGGACAGAAAAAACGATGATCTGATTTTAATGAGATTTCATCATCAGAAAGCAAGAGCACGTAACTGTGCAGAACTAAACTATAACTACTACAGAAAGCTAATTTCTCGTGACACTTTGTTCAAAATAGACTTAACATATTTTTCTCTCCAGATTTTACTCAGATCTTACCTCTCCTGTTTAATTGCAATTTAACAATGACAAGTTAAAATGACATACTTCAAAACTGTCAATGTTTTTATTTTACTGTATATGAAAGCAGAATCAATCTTATTAAAATCAGATCATCATATTCGCTCCATAACTCTTTGCTAGCTACATGTAGCAAAAGCGTAGCTGAGCAACAGTTGGGATATGATTTTAATGAGATTGAAGCAGAATCAGCATCTTTTCTAAATTAACAAATTTATTTTTTATACTTTTTAAGTTTACATAAGTTTTTTTTTAAATAATAGCCTTATCAAAATAATTATGCCAAAGGATATATTTAAAGCATAAATACCCTTCACCAAAATAAGCGCATAATATATAGTATATGAAAGCACATATAAAGCAAGGAAGGCCCGCACCCAAAATTCTTGCATCAGATTGGCTAGTAAAATAACCAAATTTTTAATCTGACCAATGAAAAGTCTAAAAAATATCAATATCCTTAAAGCACTTGAAATTTTTATTATTATTTTTTAATCTATCTTCATTTCATCAATAAATATCTTTCAATTATAAATGAGCCGTGTCACGATAAAACCAACATATTGCGTTTGCGACCAGCCTGCGCATCTGTGCAGTGTGATCATGATCCATGCTGTTTGCTATCAGTTTCTCTACTTGTAATAGAGTTGGTAAGCGAACAGCATGGATCCTGATCAGACTGCACAGATGCGCAGGCTGGTCTGGATCCATGCTGGTCGCAGACGTACTATGTTGGTTTTGTCGTGACACGGCTCAAATATCTATCTACAAAGGTTACAGGGTTACGACCATTCTTCAAGGTTCAGTTTTCACATCTGAAATACTGCCTTTAAAATCATGTTTTTCAAAATACATAAGAACCAGAGGTTAAAATTCTTTTCTTCTTTGAAAATAAATCCTTTTTTACAACTTATATCATTAGGAAAATCAAACAATTTTGTGGAAAGTAACATACACAAGTTATCTCCCTTGAAAGAATAGTAAGATACATGTATAAGACTGTAAGAAGAGAAATAGTTAATTTTTACCTACATGTTACATCAAAAAGTTACAACACAGTACAGAAAAACTATTGTCCACGATGATTATGACAAAGTTGTACAGAAACCCTCAGTTTAATAAACTAGTATACATTGAATATATGAAATAGTAGAGAAATATATATATACACTTAAAAGTTAGAGTGGGTGGGGTATAGTTTTCACTTACTCTCTTGTACCAGCATTTCAGTAGGCAGATCTGCACACACAACCTCCTTTGGGAGGGGCTTTGTCGGGGACGTGGGTGATATAAGATCAGAATTTTCACTAGTATCGGAGTCTGAAAGCCACACATTGTGAAAAAAAAGAATATAACACAGTTAAGTGATTTTAGTTAGAGAAAAGATGAATTTGGTGCTTTAATTTGTCTGTGATTTATTTATGTCTTTCTCCCATGAAAAACTATGACCAACTTTGTTTCCATTTTCTTTGCTAGAAGCGAGTGAGACTTACTTTAGGGATGCTGGAAAAAATAAACTTCAGCGAGAATGAATTATTGTGCTCACGGCTTTAATTACTGTAATTAAAGCCGTGTTGTGCTGAAAAACCATTTGATTGTAATGTCTACTCATAAAAGCCGCTTGCATCTACATTGTACCAATAAGCAGAACTTTTTACCCTTCACCAGTTCTATATATACCAATAAAAGCACTAGTGGAATTCTAATTAAGTGATCAAAAATGTCAATCATGCAGGTCTGGATATATTGGAGATGAATTCCACTTTCATAGATTTTTGTTTTTAATCTATGTTTGACAGAATATAACCTATGTGTTGCAGACTGTAACATACATGCCTACATGTATATAAAGTGTCTTACAATTTTTGTCAAGAATATTGTAACCTGAATGGATTTAATGGAGGGCTGTTAACCTAAGTCTGATAGGCTTTTTGTAATTGGTTGTCTTTTTGTATGTAATTGAAAACTGACAACATTTTTGTCATCTGACAACCTGAATACCTGCAAGTTTTTATATGTAACACCAAACTGACAAACTTTAAGCACCTTTCAACAATTAAGCTGCAAAGTGAAGAATGATCAAATAACAAGTAGCTGATTGAAAACAAGTTCCTTTTTGTAATATCAAATCAAAACTGTATTAAATTTCAATTCTATGCACAAATAAAAAAATATACACTTTAAAATTGCTTGTAAAATATTTTTATACTTTCAATGCAAATCAATTTAGGCACAGAAGCCATGACAAAAGATTGTCCTAATTTTTTGAAAGCTACTTGTTAAAGGCAACAAAAACGAAAGTGAAAATAAGCACAAAGTGAAAAATGATGATATAAGCATAATTCCCAAGATAATCCATCCATTTAAACCAATGAAACTAGCAATAAAATTAATAAGCGTTCATATAACAATGATTTTTCATATCCATCAATGTCATATAAATGCTTATAACATCAAATACTAAGATAAGCAATTTTGTAACAATGATTTTTTTCCCTTGCCATCAGTGTTGTATAGACACTTATTAAACTAAATACTCATATAACATTTTAATGGATGGGGAACCTTGTTAAGATTTCAAATTATTTCAAAGCAATTTGTAAGCATTAATTATATACCTCTGTTTATGTTTAAAATGATGGTTATAGTTATAAAACATAATCAAAATTATGTGTATTAAAATGTTTATTAATTGATAATGTCATGATTTTAAAAAGTTAATGTATATTTAAAACCTTGAAGACTATTCGAGAAATAAGATTTCATGATAAAAGACAAGACAGGAAATAAGAACTGAAACTTTAATAGAAAAGAAATGAAAATCTAAAGTTTTATTCAATATTTTTAAAAAAATATTCTAGATTCCTTTTAGAACTTTGAAGTAAATTGTTAAATTTTCTTTAAAATCAAACATGTTCATCAAATATTTATGTATGTGCATAATTCTATTTTTATAGTTTAGCAACAACATCCCTTTGCCTTCCACCATGTAAAAAAAAAAAATCGCCATTTTTAAAAAAAAACTTGCACTAAACACATTAATAAGGCCTATGGGAAAACAACACACATATATCCGCCACTGTGACGACTACAAACCTTGACTGCGTTCCTTGCGGGGCGTTTTCCCTCGTAACCTACTAACCAATGGGCTTTCACCTACAGTCTGACCTGAAATTGCAAACAAATTAAAACCATGACACCAACATACATTTTTTTCAACTGATACAGTCGGAGTCCACAACTTAAAACTATGCTAAAATGGGACTCCCCCCCCCCCCCCAACCTGGACAAACCATTCTAAAATGGGATTTTTTTTGGTTTTGTTCAATCTAGACAAACGAAGTTTTGATCTAGACCTTTTTTTAACTTTAAACAAACCAGTTAGTATTTCAATGAAAATTTCAAAATATGAAGTGTCTGAATAGTGCACTGTACAAACCATGATTACATGACATGGATGTGCTGACTTGTTTTGGTCTGCACTGGTTACAACTGCTTTCATACAGGTTTAGTTGTGATAAATGCCGAGTATACATCGTAAGTTTGAATATAGAAATCAACTCCAGCTTCAATTTAAAAATGTAATTATTTTATTTGAAAAATATACAACGTTTCGACTCAAAAGTCTTCATCAGGTATAGTATTACTTTGTTTACAGGAAATGACGTCAACGTCATATGACGTCAAGGACAACGACGTCAAAATGTAATACATAATTTGGCGTATAAATGTTATATGTAGGATCTTTATAAAAGATACAAAACACTGGTGAAAATGCAGTAATAAGCAGGTGTAAAATAAGAAAACCAGCATAAACTTAACATATTGACATGAAATTAGTTTTAAGTCATATTAAGCAAAAAATAGAAAATACAATTTTATATAAAAAAAATAAATATTAAAATGAAGAATTATAATCTACAAAATTAATAAAGTATTTTGGAATTCATGCCATCAGGAATAATTGTACCTAGCTTATACATCCATGAAGTTTCTTTTAATAATCTTTGCCAATTATTCTTTACGTTATCAATTGGCATAAATGAAAAATCTTTGATAGAATGCCCTTCAGAATTAAAATGTTCAGATACATTGGTAATAGTGTCAGGAAAGTGATTAATATCAAATTTGTGGCTATTCATTCATTGACTACATTTTTGCTGAGTTTGACCAACATACTGTTTTTTTTACATTTTTTACAAGTTATAAGATAAATGACATCTGAAGATAAACATGAAAAATCACATTTTATAGCAAATTCTTTAGGTATAGTAGTACTTGAAAAATTATTAGATTCAACAATATTATTACAATGAGTACAACGAGATCGACAGCATTTAGATACTGAACCAACCATGAATTTGGCATTTAAATGAGTATACATTAGTATTTTAATTTGATTTTAAGATCAAAGAGTACTGGTGACATATGACTGGCATTTGAAACCTTGGTTGTAGACCCATGATATTGGTGTGAAGCCCTTGTAGTAGCTCAAAGCATTATAAATGAGCCGTGTCACGACAAAACCAACATAATGGGTTTGCGACCAGCATGACCCCAGACCAGCCTGCGCATCCGCGCAGTCTGATCAGGTTCCATGCTGTTCGCTATCAGTTTCTCTACTTGTAATAGGGTTTGTAAGCGAACAGTATGGATCCTGATCAGACTGGATCCATGCTGGTCGCAAACGCATTATGTTGGTTTTGTCGTGATGCGGCTCAAATATATTGTTGAGGAAAAAGAAGCCAACAAAAATTCAATATTACAAATACAAAAACATCAAAAGATGACATAAATTAGTGACTTTTTAGAGCCAAAAGATGACAAATTCCAATACTTTTTGGAAACAAAGGACAACATAAATAAGTGCCATTTCGGAGACAATTCAGGTCTTCCTACAAGCATATAGCTTTACAGGTGGAGGGAGATCTCAGGTATTCCTGCTAGTGATGTTCCAATTGTCGCAAGTCGCCGGTAATCAGTTACTAATATGTAAAGCGACAATAATCGATTCACAAAAAATTGTTCCGCGACGTCGTCAGTATTAAAGGGAATTAATTCTGACGGTAATTTTCTTTCAGGAACACCTTGCCGATCGCAAAAAATCATCTCAGAGACAATTTGGATTTGAACAGGATCAATAAGTGATGTAAACAATAGTAATATAATGTGATGTAAATGTTATTATTTGACATCCATTGCAAAATAAATCTATTTCGTTAAATTATGACTATATAAAGTTAAAACTGTGTTGAAAAGAGCGAAATGAAGTTCATGTTACTGAATATAATAAAGTGCATCGGGAAGAAATGTTACTTCCCTATTTCTTTTTAACGCGACATTATTCGAAAAGTTATCGATAATGTCCCATCCGACTGAACCGATGATCGATTGGGACAAATTCCATCCGATTTCCATCACTAATTCCTGCATACATAAGTAGGTACCAGTGTACTCATGAACCTTTTTGTATGCTAGCTGGAAAACTTCAACATGAGTAAAGAATCCTAAGTCCAATGTAAGATTTAACCCCACAGCAATAAGGGACAAGTTCAAGCCATGCAAGTGTCTTCGGATTCCTTCATGTGAGAAAACTATCCAACTTGCTTACAGAACATCAGTGGTTCCACTCAGGTGCTTGTTTATACCTGAAATAATGCACAAAGGGGCACCTGAGGTCTTCCTCCACCAGTAAACTGGGAAGTCGCCAAAATTATGTCCTATACTGTGTTGGTGCTGTGAAAAGCCCTACAAAAAAACCCCCCTCAACATTTATTGAGTGATATGACTATTTATAGGAATCCTACCTGATGAGGTTATTTATATGTTCAGGAATTTTCACTACCCTCCATGAGGTTCATTTATATTAAGGGATCGTCTATCTGATGAGGTATTTGATGTAAGGATTCTACCTGATGAGGTTTTAATAGTGCGGAGTTAATTCGCTAGCTGATGCGTTGTCTAATTATCTAAGGAATCCTCCCTGATGAGGTTATTTTATGTTCAATCGTGAACTTTTTCACATCTGTCTCTCCGACTCGGTCCCTCCATCCTTCCTGTGCATTATCTAACGCGGACAGTCTATCTGCTATACTTGACGGTCTGGGTGTGTCCAAGCCTTTCTTTTCTCTCATTTTGACAATAGTGGGCGGAGTTAATTCTGGACTAGCTGATCGTCTGTCTAATTTATCTAGGTCTATGGGACGAGAAACGCGCTTCTTCCATTCTTCATCACCACTCTTCTTCAATGCGTTCAGTCTGAAAAATTAACATGAAACAGAATATTATACATTTATACACAAGTAAAACACAACACTTATGTCACAAGGTGAGAAAAATGTGCAGCCTGACTGGGACTCAAACCCGGGACCTTCGCAATACCGTACCATGGCTCTAACGACTTCAGCTATCTGGCTGCTTGCACACTATTTTCACTAAATAGTGAACAGTTCTGAACTATGACACTATTATTTGATTATTTAGAAAAATAAAACTGTAATCCAAGTGTAAAGATAAAAAAATCTGTAAGCTAGCAAGTTAGAGTCCACATAAAGAAGTTGATATTCCTAGTACGTTTCACACCTACAGTGAGAGAGAAGAAAGCAACCATCATTCCTTACTAATACAAATTAGGGACATAACACACATTGTTCCAACATAAGAGAGGGTTCTGTTACCAAACTCTGCCATTTGCTAAGCAATGCATGCTGCTGATATTAAAATTTTAGTTACCTGTCATGTATGGATCCAGTTTTTGTAATTTCTGGCATGTCTGTGGCAATTTCAGCTTCCTCTTTTTCATCAGGTGTGACAGGTTGTGTGAAATGACGGCCTGTATATTTCTTCTTTACCCTACTGGAGTCAGCACTTTCAACGCTGCCTTCTGTGGGCTGAGTTTTATATCTGAAAATATACAAAATACGTGTTCCTTTACTTTTTATAAGATACTGGACCTCATTCTTGATAACATCCACTTTCAAAATATTTCACCCAAAACCTGCCTACACACTTCTTAAGATGTGACTTCAAATGACGCTTGATAAACAAACATGTGACCATTATTACCACATGACACTATATTCAAACATGTTACCATTACCTTCAGATGACACTATATTCAAACATGTTACCATTACCTTCACATGACGCTATAAACAAACATGTGATCATTATCTTCACATAACACGATGTTCAAATATGTGACCATTTATGATTATCTTCACATGACCACTATATTCAAACATGTGATCATTATCTTCACATAACATGATGTTCAAATATGTAACCATTAAACTCACATGACACTATATTGAAATATGTGACCATTAAATTAACATGACACAATGTTCAAAGATGTGACCATTAAATTCACATGACACTATATTCAAATATGTCACCATTTTACTAACATGATACTATATTCAAAGATGTGACCTTTAAATTCACATGATACTAAATTCAAAGATATGACTTAATCTTCAAATGACACTATATATATTCAAATATGTCACCATTAAATTCACATGTCACCATAATTAATAAAAATGTGACCATTATCTTCACATGACACTATATTCAAATATGTACATTGACAAAATACAAAGATCTAACCTTTTCTCCCTTGATTTCCAGTAATCAAATGGCGAGCCCGGGGGAACAGGACTCTTATTTTCAGTCTCATCATGCGAGAGACTTGCATAAACTCTCTTCATGTTTACATGTAAATCAAGACGTCAACAAAAGAACAAAGTCCATATAAAATCCAGAAATCCAGAATAACTTCCCCCTATTAAAAACACATTCATAAATTCCACTTCAAAAATCCTACAGAATATTTTCCCCGCCTTAGAAATACAGTTCAACAAGTCCTTGATAAATTTTTTTTAACGTCTGTCCACAAAATGTAACATAACGATCAGTCTTGTAACAAAAATTTAAAAATCTTTCTCAACAAAATATGCTTTCAAATTTAACACACTGACTTTAACTTCTTCAAAACTTAATTCAGTAATCACTAAAATTTAACCTACAGAAAACACCAGACAAAATTCAAAATTTTGAACACTTCATCACATGCAATGTCTGGATTTTAAAAGCTGTTTAAATAGGTGTACAGGAAAACCACATTTTCAAATCCAACCAATGTATGAGCAAATAATCAGCACAATAACATCTGATAACAAGTGTAGAGTAATTAGGGGACACGCTCAGGTAAAACACTCACCTGTGTAATGTAATACTATAGTATAATTGAATAGTGTATTAAATCATTTACAGTTAAGTATGCAGATGCACTTGTATGCTTCTTTAAGGTTTATTGAAAGATTATCAATTTTATAGCTACCAAATTTATTTTAATTTCTCATTTCCTCTTTTGAATTGCTCAGTTCCCCTTTATATTCTGCATGTGCAAGCTTAATTGGTAATGAACATGACAGAAAAGCCTTCATTCTAAGTGATAAAGATTTCAATTTAAACTACCATTTATTAACAATAGCTGCAGTGTATTAATTAATATACAATGTCATTATGTTTACTTATTTCTGATTCATTATAGGCTAAGATTTAAATTTTTCATTAAGCATTACAAATATTCATGTGTTCAAACTGAGGGTACAGTACTGAGTTATATCTGAAACTGAGGGTACATTACTGAGTTATATCCGAAACTGAGGGTACAGTACTGAGGTTTATCTGAAACTGAGAGTACAGTACTGTTTTATATCTGAAACTGAGGGTATAGTATTGAGTTATATCTGAAACTGAGGGTACTGTACCCTCAGTTTCAGACATATAACTCAGTACTGAGTTATGTCTGAAAACTGAGTTATATCTGAAACTGAGGGTACTGTACTGATTTATTTCTGAAACTGAGGGTACAGTATTGAGTTATATCTGAAACTGAGGGTACTGTACTGTTTTATATCTGAGACTGAGGGTACAGTACGGAGTTATATCCAAAATTGAGGGTACAGTACTAATTTATATCCAAAACTGAGGGTACAGTACTGAGTTATATCCAAAACTGAGGGTACAGTACTGAGTTGTATCTGAAACTGAGGGTACAGTACTGCTTTATATCTGAAACTGAGGGTACAGTATAGAGTTATATATGAAACTGTGGGTGAGTTATATTATCTGAAACTGAGGGTACAGTACTGAGTTTTTCCTGAATAATCTTTACCATCTCAGTAAGAAATAATGAAAACCATCTTAAAGATTTCTAGCAAAAATGTACTTGTTAGCGCTATGAAAAGAGATTATGACACAGATTCAAAGAAAAATATATTAATTATAACTTGCAAGCAAGGAAAAAGATTTTAAATTTTGATGTGTGATAATGATTACACACAGTATATATTTCATACATTCTACATTATCTATGTACAGAATATTAACAAACAAAAAAAAACAACAAGAAAAAGCTCCATATAAATACATAATGATAAATAATAACATCTAAAGGCAAGGATATTATGCAAATATCATATTATTTGTCAATTGAAATTATCATTAAATAAAGGTCAATCTTTCATCCTACAATAGTGATATATTTTATTTTATCTTTTTTTATACTTACACAACACAAGCCACCGGTATTCCGATAGGATCCTTTCTATGAAAGCAACTCACAATCGGTGAAAATCTCATTTTTTATCTGGACAGTTTATATTTCTCCCACCCCCAGAAATAAATTTCCAACAAAATCACTTTAACTCAGAAATGATTTACTGCACGCACCAACATATCAATGTTATTATGTTCTGAACTGATAAATATCACTGAACTAAGTTCAAAGTTTTTTATATATATATATATATTACAAACGAACTAAGTCACATCCTTCATACAAAGAATATATACACACATTAAACACTGATGTAAACTTTCTTCGGAAACTATTTGATGCTTTAAGAACTCCGAAAATGAAACAGTCACGGCAAAGTCTGCACGATCGCTGATTAACCAAAACTACCCTCTATCACATGGTAACAGCATCGTTGAAAACACTTGTTGCAATTTCCGCTATAATTCGCTTTTTGTTAACCTAACACTTCCTTATTATAAATATTTGTCTGTTTTTTTATTGAAACTGCTTTTGAAGTTATTGTTTATCACACTAAGCAGGATTTGATCGAATGAAGATAATAAAATTAGAACGATGATTTTTCATATTTGAGCACGAACATTTGTTTCGTAAAATTGACGCAGCACTTTGTTAAATTGTTAAGTTGTAAGTTACAATAATTCACACAGCAGCTGTATATTACCATTGTTTTATACAGTATAAATATACATAATTATGTGATTAGCTTAGAAACTAAAAGGAACATTTGAAAAATCCAAAATATATTCCAACCAATTTGTGTAAATGACAAATGAGCCGCGTCACAACAAAAACAACATAATGGGTTTGCGACCAGCATGCGCATCCTCGCAGTCTGATCAGGATCCATGCTGTTCGCTATCAGTTTCTTTACTTGTTATAGGGTCTGTCAGCGAACAGCATGGATCCTGATCAGACTGCCCGGATGCGCAGGCTGGTCTGGATCCATGCTGGTCACAAACCCATTATGTTGGTTTTGTCGTGACACGGCTCATATTATAAACTTAGACAGATTGCTAGTTGACATAATCTATATTTGACACAAAGATAATTGACTCTTGTCAAGTTTAATAAACTCCTGAAGACTGACATAATTATGTCTTACTTTAAATAATCTTCCTTAACTTACTTGTTTAATTGCATAAAAAACTGTCTTTTACTTAAAAAAAGTTAATAATAACATAAATTTATAATTTATTTTTTATTATACCTGCATGCAAAGACACATAGTTACGTGTAAAAGTCATTCTGCTTTTTAAAATTATACAGTCACAAACTTTTGATTTTATTTCCATATGACTTGTGCACACACTGACAGATAAAGCAAAAATTGATATTTGAACTTTTATATTAATTCCTTATCATAAGCACAAACACTTCCTTTTATGACAAAGTCTCTTACATGCTTTCCTTTTTTAGACACTGAAAACCTATTTCAACTTAACGAGCTTATCCATAACATCCCATAATGCAAAGTAAAAACAATGAAATCCGACACCCGAGTCCTTCGTCATCCATCAACCAAATAATATCGAATTTCATAAGAAAAACTTCCCCTGGTGTACTCAGTTATCATTAATTAGTTTGCAGCACGAAAGACAAAAAAAAAATAATAAAAAAAATCGGTATCATTCTAGGTTACAAAGAAAATCTAACTAAGACAACGTGCAACTGCTTCAAAGTTGACTTATTTCCCCCGCTGGTTTAAAGATACTATTTGTAATATTGTAAACAACGGAAATTAGTAATTTGATGGTTCTGTGCTAAACTGTCATAACTCTATGAATTTAAAAAACAAAATGTTACAGTTAACTAGTTACTAGTAACAAGTAAAATGCAGAATGTAATTGACTGATGACTGGCCAAATCGTGGTTAACCAGATAGTTTGCTTTTTTGTTTCCAAATACTTTTTTTTTCTCAATTTCTTTTTATTTAATATTGTATATTATGTTGTGCATTGTTTGTATAATACATAATACTGCATTGTTTGATGTGCATGTTGTATATTTGCTATTGATACATAATTACATGTACAATGTATATGTTCCTAGTAAGAAACCAACAACATATAGGAGCGGAATAACATCAGACATGCCATGGTCTAGTTGGTAGTTTTTACTCCAGATCATGGCAGTAAGTCACACAGAATTTACCAGAGCACAGTTCAGCCACCTCATTGTTCTTGGACAGGCTGTCAAGCAGCTTATCAGTATTAGCTGCCACTTTCACAAGGAACTCATAATTTCTGTACATGCTAGAGCAGAGGTATAGTGCAGATGACTGTAATAAGAATTAGCTTAGCAGACAGTATTAAAGTTATAAACAAACTGTTAAGGAGAAAAAAGGTTTAATGATCTATTTTGAACAGCAGTGCACTGTGAAGCTTTTATGGTAACATGTTTGTTCATACCAAAATAGGGGAGCAGGTTGCAAGCTTGGAAAAAACAACAATTGCCAAGTTTCGGGTAACTGCCCCATTGCAATGTGTTATCTTATAATATTATTAAAATACAGTTGGAGGCCGAGCATGTATAGACAGCATTGTTCCTAATGCTTACCACATACACTTAAGACATGGGACAAGGGACCATTAACAAATTTAACTATCCATTCTAGTAAGGTTCCAAAATGTTCACTTTTTAGGGGATATGTGTAAGCGACCTGATACAATGTAGCTCAGTCGGTAGAGCCATGGTATGGTATTCCAAGGTACGGGTCAGGCTGCACATTTTTTTCACCCTGTGACAATTCAATCAACTATATGAGATATACATGACTGTATTTATATCTTGTCAGAAAATTAGCATTAAGTACCTTTAGTTAACCATGTTAAAGATTTGACCTATGACCTTTATAGGAAGGAAGGAAATCATAAATTCAACAAGCTACTTCAATACAAAGCTTTCATTGTTACAAATATGTCCACTTTGCATTGTGTGATAATTATTAGCCCTATTAAATCTCAAGTTTATTAAGCAATCTTGTTCTACTTGTTGGCTAAACCATAACTTGCTGAATTTCTTAAATAGACTGGTCCAGCTTTCATCTTTTTGGAACTGTTCATTATCAACTTCAGGGGTGTCAATTTAAAAATTTGATGTTGGTCAGCTGACAGTATAGAGTCCGGTCAGACTGCACAAAGACTTCACTGGTGACACTGGTGGCAAAGGCTGATCCATTTAAGTTTCCAGCAGCTTAAGGGTTAGATCCTTAAGTGATAAACTTTCTGATAGTTTCATTTATTCTATTTTCAACGTCTAAAATTCTCTCCCATTCATGTTATTTAATTTCCAAACCTTCTTATTTGTGGTTCAGTTTTACCTTGTGCCAACACAGTATAGGTCATATGGTGACTTTTCAGCTTTACTGGTGGAGGTGTGCCCCTCTGTACACAATTTTAGGCACATGAGTAGAACCAACAACCTTCCGTAAGCTAGTTGGATAACTTTCTCAGATATAGAATCTGACAACGCTTGCCTGCCTTGAACCTGCAGCAGTGAGAAGCAAGTGGTTTGAAGTCAATGACCTTAATCACACAGCCCTGGACGCCCCTACCAAACTCTTTAAACCGAAGATTTGCAAACCAGTCTGGAAATGGTGCTCTACTATTGGTTCATTTAAAATCTCTGTGTCCAATCCAGTTTACCCATTCATAGACTGCACAACTCTATCTAGATTTATACTTTAAGCCTCAAACTTTTTTTTCATTCAAAATGAAATGTTATTGTCAACACTTGTGCAGCTCATTAGGAAGTGCTAGACCTGAACTTTAAAATCACCACAAACACTTCAGAAGCCTATTTAGGATAGATCTTAAAGACCTTTGAGAAAACAGTATTTCCCATGTAATTTAGGAAAAAACAACTTTTTACTCCCTCTCCATGTGGTTAAAATGACTTGAAAATATTTCCTGTACTTCTTTGCTTATTTAGAATAAATTTCAATTTAGCTTTATGAAACACAACAGGTGTAAGCTTATTTTCCTATGTTTCTGACATTAAATTCCTCTTCTCAATACATTGTATTAAATATCACAACTTTACAAGAATAAATTCCAACTTTCTTTTTTTATAACAAATTCATACAACCAGAATTTACACAAATCAACAAAAATATTTTACATAGCCACCGAATATCACCCACCTACTTTATTATATACATGAAATTCTTGTTACAATAAAAAAAAGTCATTTAACCTTGGTTTTATTCTGCATTTATAGAAACATGATTGCACTTAATAGTTAGCAAATTGAACCGAACAGCTCAATAAAAGTCTCTGTGATTTTTATAAATTTGCTATTAAATGATTACCCTGGTCATAGCTATTAGATTTATTACAAAGTTAATTGACTGGTGAATGAAATAAAGTACACAAAGAGTAGTTCAATTTCACTGATAAAATATATTGGCAAGGAATATTTTGTATTTAGTACCGGAAGGACTTTGACTGTTTTATGAGACTACAAACACCAAATTTGTAAGCCCTTGCATGAGGACATTGATAAGCAAAACTATATCATGTTTAAACTGATAATATGGCTTAAATACTAGTTTTCTAACTGCCAGAATTTAATTAACAGCTGTACATAGTAACTCTGAAGTTCTTATTTAATATTTGGCAGAATCTTTAAAGTTCTAGCACTTTTAGTTCAATTTAATACAGTATATTCACAGTAACTTATCAGATATTTTTCATACTTTGAAATAATATATTGACAAAAACTGTTTATGGATTGACAGGAAATGTTTATAAATTGACAAGAACTTTACAGCTTTTTTATCATTCAAAAAAATTGACAGCACAATGATCTTCTATATCATTTTTACAGAAACAACATATTTGAAAATCCCTGATATTCAAAGTCAAATATCAATACTAAAGACATGCTTGTTAAGTAACACTTCTGATGAAATCTGATTATTAGTTTGAAACTGTAGCAATAAATTACTGACTCCATAAAGAATAACCGTACAACAAGTAACTTATCAGATATTTTTCATACTTTGAAATATATTGACAAAAACTGTTTATAAATTGACAGGAAATGTTATAAATTGACAGGAACTTAAATACAGATATAAGTGTTTATGTTGGCCCTACCTCTCTTGCTCTAATTTCCTATCCCTGTTGAATCTTCTCCGAGCTTTGCTGCCTCTTTTCACAGGAGTATCCACTTTTATTTTATCACCCTCACTGTCAACTGGTGCTTCATCACTATCTAAATTATCCCCTGATGAGTCAAGCCCTTCAACAACATTCCCTTCACTATCAACCTCTTCCACTGTCTCAGTAGTCAGTTCCGAACATTTTATTGCACTTACTGTCTCAACGTCCATCTTCCGAGTCTCGAAACTTCCTTCTTTCTTAAGTATTCCTCTAACCTCACTTGATTTGGAAATTTCAACAGACTGAGTTTTATGTAAAGCTTTGTTTATATCACTTATTGTTGGAACAACGTCGGAATTCGGTTTTAATCCAATAGGAGCTTTATGAAGCAGCGACAACTTCTCCTCCAGCTGCGATTTCAGAATATTCTTTTTCTGAGAGTCTAGTTTGCTGGTGGTGATTTTTCCGACAGTTTGTGACGAATGAACCTGAACGGATTCCTCTTGTTTTTTCACTTCAAAACCTTTCACTCTGACATCTGAGGGTCTGACAGTTTCCAAACTAACTTCTACGGCCGAGTTGTTCTGGTTTATGTTTGTATTTGTTGCTGTCAGGGAATCTGATGAGAGAGAAAGAAAATATATGAATTCCACTAGGTTTTACACTATAGTTACATAATATGATTTGAACAAAATTTTATACAAACCAAACAAAGCATGATTTCATTAAATCAGTTGAAATTCATACATCTTAAATTGTAAATAATTGACTGCCTGCATGAAAAAACTACCTATAACGTCATTTACTATTTTTTCTAAATTGACATATTTGATTCCTAAAAATATCCATTTCTTAATATGCTCTTAAAAAAAAAAAATCTACTGAAATTTCCTTATTAACACTTATTCATATTTATCTTTAGCATTTCAAAAGTAATTTAATGTCAAAGACAAAGTTAACTTCTTTAGATGCCATTTAACTTTTAAATTACGTTCAGGGTCGATTTTTCATGCCAGCATTTATATCATACACATATTCTGTTAAATTGCTGCCAGCAGTCATTTGTTGTTCTTTTTTAATAAATTTATTTTCTGCGAAATAAAAATACTATTTAGGATGTCCAAGACAATTTGCGTACTAAAGATAATTATACTCTCCCTTTCAATTAAATAAAGGATGACAATTCCGTATGATAATTTTGATACTTTTATAGAATATCCAAATATTTCTAAATCATTTAAAACAAATATTTGGAATATAGGAATATACACAAAGTCATATATACTCACAAATAAACGCACATAGACAGATATATAGATATATTACAATACTGAAACCCTTATCTTGTGTGGTCCAGTGATTTGTTGTTAATTAAGAAACTTGTGTGTTATCAATGATGAGCTTGCAACATATTCACTCATAAACATATGACAGGCAACATATTGCCTGGGCATAAAAATACTGTAAATCATTATAAATACTTTGAAATACACATTTATTATTTATCAATATTGCATGCCATATTTCATATAATAGAAATGCAACAATGTTCATTACATAAATATCAAAATTTATATGGCTTAAGACAAAATTTTTCGTGTTTCAAGCCATGCTGTAAAAACACATATTTTTGTGAGTCCAAAATTTTGTGTAACCAACATTTCAGACAAAATGGCAAGATCAAATTTTCACAAATTTGTCTTTTTAGTTCTGTTTATTTTATGTGACATTCATAATACTTTAACTTATATGGCATTTACTTTCTTATTAAACATTTTTTTTTTTGGAGAAAAATCTTCAATTTACGAATTTAGCAAAATTTTTAATCCATCACAAAATTTTCTGATTTTTTAGTACTGGGTGAGTTGTTTCATTTATGAGCCATTGTAACTATTTTGAGTTAACAAATGATATTAACTCACCTTTATTAATAAACTCAGTACTCAGGTCACCTATGGAGGTAGCTCGGGATGGCACCCTGGAACTGGAGCGCGAGCTGGGCTGTGACAGAGTCTGTTGAGCATGCTGGGCTATCAACTCTCTCTGGGCCTTCACTGAGAGTCCCGAGAGAATTTCTGGGTCTGGAGGTTTCACCAGACTACATGCCAGAGGCGAGATCTTTGCAGCTTTCTCTACTTCTTCAAAAGTGACGGGCTGAAATAACAAAAAAATTGTAATTAAACATCATTCCTTTATTACCATATTGAATTATTTCACACTATAAAATTTCAAATCACTATCTAATGCAGTATTAAACATGACTCTATCGATGCAAACAAATTAAAACTTCAGAGAAAGTCTTTTAATCCTGGTCTGAAGCAATATGCTTGCACGTCTCTTTTAAAAGAACCAACTCAGCGACCTTTGCTAACTGTGAGAAGATGTAAAATTGTAAAATGTCATGGTTTTTCTTCTCAAATTTTTCTTTGAGTAAAAATCTGGTGACACTGTTGACACCTATGTACATAAAATCAAGTATCTTACTCACTGACCTACAAAAATGAGACTTTGCACTGATATACTTTACTTATTTGTCAAATAATTATAAGAACAATTCTGAAGGACAATTAATAAGATTCTAGATGAAATGAAAACTTTATCTAACAGACTCTAGGTGGACATGAAATTTACATGTCACAATTTAAAAACAAAACACCACCAGGTATAAAATGTTGTAAAACTTTTCTTCAACCTCTCTAATTTGTCTCTATTTTTTCAATGTTAACCTCATAAAAGCAAGTATGCCTCATAAATCCATATAGCAACAGTTGGTGATTTTTCTCTATATAATATAGCCACCACATGCTTCATTTGAAACTAAATGACTATAAAAATATTGTGAATTTACTATCAAATATTTATGATGTTGATAACATCTGACAGGCTTCTTTCATATAAACTTGTCAAATAACTATTAAAATATGACCAGTTTTGCAAGCTGTCCTTTTCTTGTTTAATGAAGGGAAATATTTCTTGTGCCATCAGGACATCAAAGATTTTTGTTTAAACACTTATAACCACAGAAGAAAAACTTGATACTTTTTGTGCTCAAAGTAAAAGCACTAAATGTTAAATATCTTAAAATGACTTTTTCAATCTGGAACAAACCATTAATATCACTCTGAGGAAAATTTTCGAATGATACCTTTGTACTGTCTGAATAGCGTAAAGTACAGACCATGATGGGGCAGCACAGATGAGCCGGTTGGTTCTGGTCGGCACAGGTTGCATAGGTAGAATCATTTCTCGCTACCAGGATATAACTATGGGTTCAAGTACCAGATGTTACCATCCAAGTCATACATTATCAAAATTTACAGTTGTTTACTTACGCTAATATTTTATATTCACAACAAAATAACTAGAGAATTAAAGATAGTCTTTGCATGGGGATTAAAAGTGACTTAGAGGGCCATCATGAATCCTTGACAAAAGTTGAAGAATTTTGGCAAGGTTATGGTCTATTAAGGACACTAAATTGTACAGGCGGAGTTAGAGACTAAAATCTCCATTTTTAGAAGGCAGGCCCGCTATACAACAATTCTACAACTCTACTATGCACCTGACATCTCCGAATCGTAAATAAAATTTGTTTCAACCTCAATCATCTTAATCCTCAGAACTATTGTTATACAGTCCAGTCTTGGTAATCTTCGAGCTATATAGAAGCTGAACAGACATAAATGATTTACACTTATGTATGTTAGAAAAATACAATAAACTTTTAAACAAACCTGAGTAGCAAATCTGGATGCAAGTTTTCGGTTTTTCCGTTTCGGTGGCGGCGGAAGTCCTTTCTTCGCTGCAATGGCTTTCTTATCCTCTTCTATAGATGTGAACAACTTTACTTTATCTTTTAAACTTTGTCTGCAAAGAGAAACAAATCAATAAGGATTATATATCAAAACAACTGCAGATTTCTGTTGGTGCATAATATAATCATGTAAAAATTATGTAAGAAAATAAGACAAGAGGGTGGTCAAAAGCTGGAAGTGCATGCCAGCCTCTTGACTGAAAGAGGGTAGATATCATTCTCCCTATGATCTTTACCTATACTATATTGAAGCAATTTACCTGCAGTGATGAAGCATATAATAGTGTCATAAGTTATGTTGATGATATATAAAGTTACAGGGTGTATACCAAATATTATGTAGATTTCTTTCATACAACATCAGTTTTTCACAACTAAACCTACTTTTATGTCATCATATTTTACCTAACTCAACTGTACTACAGCTAGGTGTATAATAACTTATTTAATTTCGTCGGTTATCACCATTAAATAATCCTTAAAACTTATCCTGTAATTAATGACTGTTTGTTTTATTTTTATTAATTTTCTTAGTAATTTAATTTTGATTTAATTTGTGAACTTTCTTACAAAGTATAACAATATTTCTTTGCTACAAAATCTGTATTTTTCTATAACAGATAACTTACTTAACATACTATTCCTTATATATCCTGTTTAATTTCACTTAACTTATTTAAAAAACAAACTTCAATATCATAAAACTTCCAATTTAAAGAAAAAAAACGACATAATTTTTCCAAAGCGGAAGATAAAATTTCACGATTATTTTACCTGACAACTTTACCCTAATATCCAATTGCCAAAAATCTTATAATAATATTTTATCTGTGACTGTATCAACAGATCAGAGCAATATTGAATGAGCTAATATTTCAAGATACGGGCATATAAAATCACCCACGCAGGGATTACACGGGTCTGTGGTGATACTTGTAAATATAAATTATCAATAAACTAGACGTAACACCGTAAATGGCGTAACTGGCGGTGTTGATTCAGTTATACCAAATCTGTCAAAAATATCATCTAATTATCTGCCGAGACAATCTTATTAGTTAATAACAAGAAAACCACAAAATTGTTTACGAGTGTATATGTACATTTGTGTATCTTCAAACAATGCCGAATCAGCAGGTTTTTTTTTCTGTCAAGATTCCGATTTTTTTTTATAAATCAATGCATCAGTTAACCATACCTCTACCAACCCCTCAAGGTCCGCAGAATCTGATATTCACTTACTTGTCCATTTTACCTAAAGCATTTCTTTACTTGTTTGTATGATATTTATAAAGTAAATTCTGGGAAAAAGTCACTTGTTCTACAGGCTGCTTGACAACCTGGACAATACGGACAATTTATTTTGCCGCCCCTGCCTCTTGTCCCATCCTAATGAGACAGTGTTAATGGGCAGAGCTGAAAATGGGCAGAATTGTTTTTTTAAAATCTACCCGGTCAACGAACACAGTTTTCTTTTGGTATCAAAATAGCAGGGGATACAACCTCTACTTGCAGGTAATGGGGCATTTTACCACCTGACTGTGTTGCAGGGTGACCAATAATTTAACCAGGGTTTGAAGACCTAAAAGTCAGGTTATGCTGTGCTCCAGTATAACATAAGCTCTGGCATCTTTTTCTTATCTTAAAAATCAAATAGTCCTTATTTAAATGTAACAAAAAACAATGACTAACTTTATTCAAGCCACACATTTTTTTTTAATTAATTGTTAAAAACTAAAATTGGTCACTGTAAATCTTAAATTAAATGCCAAATACTTATATACACATAAAACTGTTATGTAAATTTTAAATTAAACAAAATTCGAAAAGATTTATTTTATTTGATATAAACTATTACAATTTTATCTAAGTTTTAAGATAAATACTGCAACTTAATGGTTGTCATGTAAGGACAATAACACCACTTATATTAAACATGTACAACATGTCACATATCTGTTTAAAATTTTGAAAATCGCGCACTCAGATATCAAATCTTTCTTTTTCCAAGTATCATCTAACTGATAATTCAAAGTTCACTTTTCATATGAGAGATAATTGTCTGATATATAAGTAACCAGATTTCTGTCAATAAAATCACCTATAAAATGTGATCCCTTATTTCTCTAGGTTTGGTTTGGGTTGATAGGGCTTAAGTGCACCAAAACAGTCTGAAGTCAACTTTCTAGCTTTACAGGTAGATGAAGACCTTGGATGCCCTTCCATGTATTAGTAGGTGCGAACAGGCAGCTGAGTAGAACCAACAATGTTTCTTAAGTTATCTGGAGAGCTTCCTTACATGAAAGAATCTAAAGTCCCATGTGAGAGTCGAACCCACAGCCACGAGGGGTAGGTGATTTGAGATCAACAACCTTAACCACTCGGACACAGACACCCTTTTTTCCTAGGAATAACTTTACTAAAGTGATTTTCATGCCATTATTATTAGTTTAAATCAGCAAATTATACTAAAAAGATTTTGCACATGCATACATGTACTGATTTAAATGTAACCTAACAGACACATTCACCAAATGATTTCTTTATAGAATGGTTCATAACTTTATAAAGGCACAAGGGGATCAACCTGGCGGAGTGTTTTTTGGATGTCAACACTAATTTAAATGCCCCTTTCTAATTTGGGCTCAAATCCTGCCGGGGCTACTTAGGATGAGATCCTTTCAAGGATGTTTTAATTGTTTCATGCCAGGAAGTAATAAAAATAGATTATAAATAAACACATAGTAGGTCAAGTAAGACTGGAATGTGGACTTATGACATCAATTAATTGTCACTGCAACTTAAAACATCCCTTGCCTCCCCAACAACATTCACCCATCACCCTCCCGCCAACCCAACCAACTCCCTATCTTTCCAAAGCTACCAACTACATATAGTTTTATGACTAGTTTCCTGCTTAATGTAAAACTGAACTTCTTTTCAATTTATAAGTAACATACATGTATAACATTCTGCACAAGAACCAAAATTATGTCCTCTTTCTTTATTAGATAAATCCTACCTTCAAAAACCTTTTTCTCCTTATAAAAACTACCATAAATCCACATAACACTCTTGCTTATAGAAACTTTACTTTTCCATTCTAGTTCTGAAAGTTTTTTTTTAATTCTTATCATATTTGAATAAAGATTGCATTTAACACACTTTGATACACTGTATTTTGATTATCACAAATGTTTCCTATACAACATGTCCTCATTAGTGGTTGATAAACAATACAAATACATTACACATGTATACATATATATGATGAATATGTTAACTAATAAAAGCGATTAAACCGTGAAGAAAATTTATCGGTACTTGACGTTGTTGAAAATTGTTAAGTATGATCTATGATTATAAAACGTCAATCAGCGTAATGATAAAGTGATGTGAACATTATACAGGTCAACTGTAACAGTCACTCAACGATGAGCTATATAATCTATTGACACCACTTGTAAATTGAAACACTATCTCTATAAAAACACTATCTCTATGAAAATAAAAAATGTCCTAAAGCCACCTAACATATTATTGGTAAATGTCAAAAAAAAAGTGTGAATAGTCCTTTAAAAGTCTCAATTTTCAATACAAAATACAATTTAGGTCAATATTTTTGTGAATGAAAAGACGAAAAACGTTCATTTATTTTTTTCATTTTTGCATAATAACTTTTCAAATGAAATGCAGACACAAATCCTATTTAAAATCACTATGCAAAACTGATATTTTCCTCGGTACTTACTGGTATTCATGTAAAACTGCTAAATTTCAATATTAAAAAAAAAACTTTAAATAATCTAGTGGTAAAGAAGTTTTCAATTCACACAAGATTCGCCATTTAATGTTATTTTGTAAACATTACATTATTTGAAATATTTCAACCGTAACATCAACAGTTTATGATGAAACATGTAATATCTTCCCATATGTTACACTACATTATATTATATATAATAATTATATATGAGCCGTGTCACGACAAAACCAACATGGTGCGTTTGCGACCAGCATGGATCCAGACCAGCCTGCGCATCCGCGCAGTCTGATCAGGATCCATGCTGTTCGCTATCAGTTTCTCTACTTGTTATAGGGTTTGTAAGCGAACAGCATGGATCCTGATCAGACTGCGCGGATGCGCAGGCTGGTCTGGATCCATGCTGGTCGCAAACCCATTATGTTGGTTTTGTTGGTTTTGTTGTGACATGGCTCATATATATATATATATATATATATATATATATATATATATATATATATATATATATATATATATATATATATATCATAATTATATATGACACTGTATTGTTATAAAGCATCTAACATCCATATAATAACTCCCTGACATATTCCAGTACATATATTTCTTATTTTACTCTTATTATAGTTATAATCATCAAAATTGGAAGTATACATTTTGTAAAAATTGTAAAAGATCCTTATAATTACTTATATCGTTACCTAAAGAAAACATTATTATCATTATAATACTTACTGTAAGTTACTGAATAAGTAAGTCATTTAAATAAAACTTAAACAATTATTCTAAAACTGAACTGAACTAAACTCCTGAAATTCAGGAATAGTCATGGAAATTATTTCACATGTAATTATAACCCTAGACTCTCACTAAATATCTTAAATAGACCTGTCCATCTTTCAATCTGGACAAAACCATTCATTTTTTTAGGGAAATTTTCAAAATATATACTGACTGAATACCCAATAAGGAACACTGTTCAGACCATGATCAGACCTCATGGATGTGCTGGCTTATTATTGCATGGGTGTAAGTTAATAATATCAGAAAACCTTAAAACCCTGAATTTAGTACTATTTCAAATGGTTTTATATAGAATTATATCTTTAAAAGAGTACAAAAAGCCTGAAAAAGCCTGACCTTCAGGCAAATTGGCAGAAAACATGTACCCATGTCAGACTGACCTTGGCCTGTACTGTAGAATCTAAGGCAGGCTATGAGTTAAAGCTGACCTATTTATTTTATTTAACCTACAAAAAAAAAATCCCCAACTATAATGCATAATTACAGACTTCTTTCCTATGATAAAGATGGTCATTAACATATAATATGCATTTACTGCACTTTATCACACATATTTGTGGTGTTTTGCAAGTTGTAACCATAACAACAGATAATAAATATATTATCTTTAGTCTACTTCAACAATTTTTGTCTTTGTTTATCTATATTTAGAAATCTTTTCAACAATGTTTTGTAGATCTAATAGTTAATTACAGTGTTCCACTTTTACAGACAACCTTTGTATGATAAGACAATTAAATAATCAATATCTTATTATGAATTTACGTAACACAATGACAAAACTAAAACCCAAGTGGGTTAAAAATGCAAATCCTTTAATTTATAAACCAGAAGTTTTTTTTTAATTTTTACTTTAGCATTGTTTTGTATATATTTCTTTTGTATTTTTCGCTTTTTTGTATTAACAAAGGATTTGTTAAATGCATACAAAAATGTCTGTGTTTAAATTGCTCTTTTATAATCTTTATTATCGTGACTTAACTAAGCAATGATTCAGAATATTGAATATTCATCAAAACTGAAGATATTTATAATAATAATTGGTTAGATTTCAGGTCACACAACTGCTAATTTAGGTCATTCTGTCCCCACTTCAACCATGTGTTACAGATTGACAGGGGTCTTTTTAAAACCCCTTATAACTCACTGGAGGCAACAGATTTTCCCCATGTGACAAGTGCAGACCAAAGATTAAGCCGTACATCTGTGCTGTATGAGCATGATCTGCAATGTTCACTATTCAGTCAGTATATGTTTCCCTGAAAAATGACGAATGGTTTTGTCCAGATGAAAAGATGAACAGTCCCTTTTGAATATGTGTGAAAAGCTTGGTCATTTCTTTAAGTAATAGTGTAAAGTATGTACCAGCTAGAAAGTAACTATGTTTTTTTAAATTTAGGTCATATGGTGTCAAAAAAGTAATTTCAGGAAGAAGACATAAAACTTGGATATTCTGTCGACTGTCGGGTCCAATGGGACTTAATGAAACTCTTGTGCACTCATTGAAACCCTTGTGCAATCATTGAAACTCTTGTGCACTCATTAATATTCTCGGGCACTCATTGAAGCTCTCAGGCACTCAATGAAACTCTCTGGCACTCAATGAAACTCTCGGGCACTCAATGAAACTCTTGGGCACTCAATGAAACTCTCGGGCACTCAATGAAACTCTCAGGTGGAGAATCACATCAGACGTATTTCTGTGCATCATGTATAATTACATTTGTCTATAACATTGTAACATCAAACAAAAGAACACCTGTCCAGAACTACAAAACCTTTTGCGATTAAAGAAGGATAATGGCCTATAGAATATTTTAATTTCCTTGCATGCTGATGATTTAAACATAAAGCTAGAAATGTACATTTTATCACTTATCATTCAGACCGGTTTTTCATGTAGGAACATTCAGTTATTTTATTTTTGTGAAATTAAGTTTGTTTGTTTTGTTTTACAGCGCATCAACACAATTAAGGCCATATGCTGCTGGAAAAGGAAAGATGATTTTGGCTAACCTTAGGTGTTACAAAGTTAAAACACCAGGGCTAAGAGATGCACAGTCTCCAATAATTCTAACCCATTTAGTTGTCTCTAACCATCACACAGGGATAAATGGTGGTCTTAACCCTTAAAAGCAACCCCTCTGCCACAAGGGGGTCGTATAATTAAGGCTATTCAGTTAAATTTATTCAAGGTTTTGCAAATTAAAAAAACCCCAAAACATTTTGACTTCGCATCAATGCTTTTACAAAAAGAGTAATTATATTACATACCTTACTTATACTTCCTATTACAGGTTTAAACTTAACTTTAAAAAACCAGCTGTGTAATTTAACACTTAGTATTTCTACTTTCATTCCATATTGAATTAAATTCTGTTATTTAGAACAGACTTAATGCAATGATTGATATATATCAGACTTTATGAAATTTGATATTTTAATAATCCAAATGATCAGACATGCATTTTCACACTGTGCCGAGTGTATACATTGATTTTGTTATGTAGAAAAATGACATGTATAGTATATAAATATATATATATATATAAACTACCTGATGTCATAAATTTTATTTATACTACGACGCCACTGAAGCAATAAACTGACTAAGTGGACCAATAAAATCATGTTTTTGTTGTTGTGTATTTCATATTATTCTATAATGTCAACTATAATCACTTTGCTTTTATTTCATCTTGTTCATTATCTAAAAATAGATATATATAAATAAAATAGTACATAATATACCAAGATGCTTTAACACAGTAAAGGGGGCTTATTTCACTTACAGTCACAGCAAGGGCATCAACAATATTGACAGCTACTTCAATGTCATTTTGACAACATGGCAATACTATTGAAGGAAAGTTTTTGGGTTTAAGTCATATCAATATTGTACACAAACATTTTTTGCACCCACCAACACTGTTCAGGTTTAAAACAACAAGTTTCTAGCTTAAATGGTGAACAAATATCTCAATAATTGCCCCTAATAATTGTCCATTATTCTAGGCATGAGGGGAGCCTTAGAAAGACTATGGACCTTCCCTATTATTAGATGGCTATCCAGTTTCCAACTTCTCCCCTTGTGACCAACTAATGCTGGTCCTTGTACACAGGGTTTTCCTCTACAGAGACATTATTTAATTGTAATTTACTGTTAAGACACCTTAACCCTTGATCTGATATATTTCTATAATGAGTCTGTCCAGCTTTGAATTTGAAACAGTCCATTCAAAGTTTAAGGGATTTGAATATCAAAATACAAAAAAAATGAGCTGCAACAGTATAAAGCCTGTTCAGACTGCACAGATGTGCAGGCTGGCCTGGTGCTATACTGGTGGCAAAGGCTGATCACTTTTGCTTCCAGCAATGTTAAGGGCTTGCCACCTAAAATATATTATTTTTATGAAAGTAGGCCAAACTTTATAATCCACTGAAAAAGTTCAATCATGTCATTTATAAAATTTAGGGCAAGAGCTTTATGGAAATTCAATGTTAAATTATGATAAAATATGACCTAGAAGTAAATCAATAAATTGAACCATATATATCACAAATGAAAATTTACTTTAAATACCATTCAGTTTTATGAGCAAGATTTACTTCCCCTACATGTTTCCAGTTTAGTATAACATAGTTTACACTATTACTTTTAGTAATAATAACTTCTATAAACTTAAGAAAATTTCTAAACAATTACTTCCCTTTATTACACAAACTGGGACGGCACAAATGTCTACCACATCATGATGATGTGTTGCATCTATGGCCTATGTACCTACCTCAAAGGTCAAGGTCACACTTACAGTTTGAAGGTTCACATTCTCACAATTAGAGTTTAAATTTGCACTCATTTGTGTCCAAACTGTATCTTTGTCACGCAGGATTTTTAAATAACCTAGCATATATGTCTACCACATCAATGCGATGTGTCTCATCCAAGACCAATGTCCCTTCCTCCAAGGTCAAGGTCAAACTTATAGTTTGAAGGTACTCATTCTCACAAGAAATGTTTGTAGGTACACAATCATGTCTGGACTGTAACATTGACATGCATTGAAGGATTTTAAAATTACTTGGCACAAATCTCTACCACATCAGGACAACATGTCACATCCAAGGCCCATGTAATTTTGCTATGAAAGAGGAATATTAAGCAATTAGATACTTCTATTCCCTTTTCTTTTCATAATACCTTTCTGAAGTACTTGTGCATTGGACATCAGAGACCCTTTTTTTTTCTTAAAAGGATCTCTCTAGGTACTGACCATATAAATAATAGGAATATATTAAAATTATGTAATTGTAATATTTGTTTTTAAAAATGTAAGTTACTTATCTCACTAGTCAAAGGTTTAAACCATTAAAAGAATTTTTTTTTTTATATCTGCAGCCTCAATAAATGCTAAGTCATCCTCATACATTATAGTAATTTACTATTTTCATAAGGTTAGTCACTTAACACATCATATTAATCATATACAGTACTCTACCTGCAGTGACCTAAATCTCACTAAAATTTCTCATACTTTAACCTACATAAGCTTGAGTGATGTGACAATAATATTACTTTTTCTCCATCTCATAAACAAAGAACTTTTTTCACTTTTTTGACACAAGATTGATAACAATGTTTTCTTCATAACTTACACAATGAAATCATGATTTAGCAATAAGTAGTATTTGCTTATTTATTTCTTTAAACACAAGTCAATATTTTAAATTCAGAGCTATATGTATAATTATGTATTTTTGTACTAATTAAATTTGCTTAGAACAATTTGTTTATTATTGGTGTTTTATTTGATACATTTTCATTAGGAAATAGATAATTTTTTCTGTTTACTTATACATTTTTATATTCCTACACACCATGTTCTACCTTACATTTGGATTGTTTATTTTTATGAACCAATAGACGTTATCGGGAACTCTGCAAATTTGGTTTTTTCTGGCTAATCTATAGGTACAAACTAACTTAACCGTTATAGTTTAAGGGTACACTTCATGTCACAAAAGATCAGTCAACCTGTTTTTCGCTTTTTTCGAGGCTGTAACTGTAAAAAGTTTGTTTGTATCTACGGATTAGCTGGGAAAACCCAAATATTCTTGATTCCAGAGTAAGTCTATTGTTTTTCACTTGTTTAATACGAGCTTCTTTGTAATGAAGTTTAAAACTTCAATACTATAAACATACAATCTTTTGCACCACCACTCTTCACTCACCTTGACAACTCATCCGAGTCAACTTCTGCTTCTTCAGTCCCTATGGTGACTGGAGTTTCCTCCGCTTTCTTTGCCTCTTCTTCCTCTTTATCAGCAATCTCAGCAGCCAATTTCACCTCATCTTCCGTGATTGGCAGTGTCCTTGACCTTTCCCGCTTTTTACGATCAATGTAGCGCTTCGCACCACTCGCCGATTTCTTCTCCTGTCTCTCCTTTAACGATTCCTGTATCTGATGAAACATGGAAGCTTTTGCAGAAACGCTAAGTTTAACCGGATCATCTTCGCCAATATTTTCCTCAACACTCAAGCTTCGCCAGCTCTCGATTTCTTGCGTTATAATTTCACCTTCAGATCCACTCAGAATTCCGGAATCTGCCTTGGAGTCTCTAGCACCAAACGAATCAAACTTCTTTTTAAGTGAATTCATGGTCTCTGATGGTTTGTCCTCTGGGATAGCATTAAGCTCTGCTGCCGTGACGGGCAACGTTTTATGACGCTGACCTCTTGAACGACGCTCTAGGCGTAACTCTTGTGGAAATTCGGTCTTTTTTGCAGGTGCTTGTCTCTCTTCTTTTTGAAGAGCTTCAAAAACGTTTGTTGACGATTTCTGGATGACCTCGGACCTGAACTTCTTCACTGTTTCCAAACTGTAAATGGAAACATAGCTTGAATAGAGATTTGCTATGATTTCATTATTTAACAAGAGGACCACATGCCGTGTTAACAGTTGTCTTTAAAAAACACAACCATTTTAACAAAATTTGTAAGTTAAAAACGGGCATAACTCCAAATACATAGCTTTCGCAATTCTGCCCCTTGTCTAACAACTTCCCCTTGTCAAGGATAGTATTTAAAACCTTTAAATACCAACACAAAGTGGACAGGTCTGTCTACAGAAATTCAGCAGATTGTTGGCTAACAGGCATGGGAGACTGTATTTTACCTTTAATAACTACATCATATCATATATATTAATTAATGACTACATCATGTCTTAAATATTAATCAATGACTACATTGTATCATATACATTTATCAATATCTACATTATATAATATACATTAGTCAATCAATAACTACATCATATCTTATACATTAACAATGACTACATCATATCATACACATTACAAATGACTACATCATATCTCATTAACAATGCATACATCACATCATATATATTAATCAATGACTACATTATATCTTATACATTACCGATAACAAAAATAATATCATATATATCAACAATGAATACTTCATATCATATATATATATATATATTAATCAATGATTAAATCCTATATATTAATCAATGACTACATCATATCATATATGCATTAATACTTACATGATAAAATTTATCCAAGATAACACAATCCTACCAAATTTCAATAGCATTGTCACTAACCATATCAACAGTTTCATCAGCATTTTCACAATCCAAATTATACCAAACATCAAATATTTCAGTAACAATATTACACTCCGAGATATGTAAATAAAACTGTTTTTCAATTCCATGTTTTTTCTTATTATGATTGAGCTCTAAATAATCCTTTGATATTTGATACTTTTCAAACAGTAGATTTATAATTTATGAACTACATATACACTTAGTATTGTAACTTAGGTATGACTCTTCCTGAAACAATTGATAAATCAAGATTTTGTAAGTACATTCTTTTCCCGTTTATTTATACAGGAAATATAACTGAATATTTGCAACCTTATGTTAACCTTCCTTTCAAAAACTGTCATGACAATTTGTTTATGGTTTGAACGTTTGTACTTAACCAAAAACCAAAAACTGACCAGCAGGCAAGTCCTGTGAAAGTTTTTATTTCTATATATTATAGGGGAGAAATTGTTTGTAAATACATAATGAACATCATGTTGGTGTGAATTTACAGGTCACCTGTCTAGTACAGCAACTCAAGTTGACATATAGTTTGTTTGAAGCATGAAAAAAAAGCAATTACATGGTTTAAGATATACTGTATACTGTATTTTTTTTATCTGGGATTTGTTTTTTATATATAATACAGGTAAATTTTGGTTATCTGACATTTATGTTGTTACAAAAAGCCAGCAGCTTTTTAAGAAAATTATTTTTTTCCAGTGATTTTAAAAATAAATTAAATCTGGAAACAGACATAACATAGTTTAAGATAAGACATGTAAGAAGATAAAATATGTGATTTATAAAAATAAACAGAAACTCCCTGAAAAAGAGGGGTTTAACCCCTCCAAACGTTTGAGATAGAAAAGTTTGTGTAGTAGATAAATATTTAAAAATAAAATACTTAAACCATGCAGTAACCTAGACTATACATTCACAATATGACTAAAGTTCAGATCTACTTTATAATGTAGATCTGAGTTACAGTTAAAATTAACAACCGCATCATTTTTAAAATTGTGAAAGCTTGCCAATGATTGGCTGTTTGAAAGGTCACAAGAAGGTGACCTCCTATTGACGGCTGTCAGATCCTAATGCAGAGCATTACTTAGGAGTTGATTTTGATTTAGTAATACTGGATTATCAACGTTGAACATTTCTACTCTTTACTTAAGACACAGGTCTGGTTTTTTGCCTTTTTGACTTACAATAAATTAAAGGAAGGAATAGTAAATCTGAGAAATGGATATAGAAAAGGCAGAGTTGAGTTTAATGACGTTTTAATAATGCATGTACAGGGTTCCTACAGACATGCAGTGCCAAAATTCAAGCATTTTTAAACAAGTTTTCCCATTTTTCAAGCACAATTTGTTGCACATATATCTATAGATAGTTTATAAGCCTATTTTTTATTGAATACACATTTTACAGTTTCTTTAGAAAGAACAACAAAGGGGTGCAACTATGGTATATTTGTAACTATCCAAACTAGTTTGAATCAACTGCAATTCTTCCCCTTACTATTACCATTGAGCAAACATTATATTGATTTTGGTACTAAATTTACAGCATATTAAAGCTATTTTAAGTACTGTTCAAGCAAGTAATCAAACTCAAGTACTTTTAAGCACTTTTTTCATTAATAGGAAAGGGATTAAAATTTAAGCACTTTTTAGGACTGTATGAACCCTGATTTAGAAAATGTTAGAAGAAATTGCCATTGCATGTAAAATAATTTGTCAGAAAAGTTGTGAAATATAAAAGTGTTATTTTGTCTCCAATGAAAATGACTTAATCACTATAACTTTACTCATGACCTGAAAGCAGATGTTTTAGCTTTATGGTCAATGAGATCCATTTTGTTATCTCCAGTTCTTTCGAAAATTATGCAGCAGACAAACAAAACCTTTATTAACAGAAAGACAAGCTGATTCCAGTATATCCTACACTCTTCCACCATGAATATGCAAAGGTTTTATAATCAGAGTGATGCTAAAACAGGTGTTGGAGTACCACACTAAATACTGTATTCCGGTAAATACCGGACAAAGCACTTGAATAATCAAATGCTAACATCTCACCTTTTCACTCGTTGAAATGCACTTTAAACAGTTTAATTCATCTCTTCACACCAATTTATATATGATATAATGAATGAAAAATGTAAGAATCAGCGAAAAAAGAGATATTTGTACTTCATGCTTATGATTTCAGCAAGTGTCTTGAGGTACTACTCCAACACTGTAGTGAGTTAAATCCATTATAATCATAGCATGTTCAAGGCTTAATGAGCCTGTAAGTGTCAAAATATTCTCACCTGTCAGCAAGCTGTATTTCCTGTAATGTCACGGGTTGTGTGCGTGTCCTGGCATCATCCCTCTGACGGCGCTGTTGGAACTTTTGACGTTTCTCGGAGATATTAGTCTGTTGACCTTCAAGGCTAGACAAACGTTCGATAAGTTGGGACCCGGATAACTCAGGTTGTTTACTTCCTTCGTCAAAACTGAACTGATTTTTAGGAGATATGTTACCAGATCTGAAAGGAAACAATGAAAAACCCTTTGTGCTATTACTTAAATGGCACTTTAAAAACAATTGTAATACATAGATTCTATGAATGAACTAAATAACTATTTGTAGCAGAAAGAAGAACTTTAATACTACCCCCATAATAAATACAAATTATACAGACATGAGCTCAATCTTCTAAGCTTAACAAGAACTTAAAAAGTTATGATCAACATTCAAGTTTGTGGACAGCATGTCAATGGCAACGCCGACAAGACTTTAACAATACCTCTACTTTAAAAAAAAGAAAAAAAAAGTCAAGCTAAAAAAAACCATGCTTTATAAATTGCATAATTTATTTGTATGTGCAATCAGCATCAAGTTGATATGACAGTATTGATATCATGAGAATAATAAAAATCAGACATTGGGTTACAGACAAATATATAAATACCACAGGAAGAATAGGCACATGTGTTTTTTCTATGTATATTCCCCCCTCCCCCTCCCCTCCACCTCATGAATAAATTTTTGAAGATTGTAATAATTAAATACTTTAAGCTGACAAATCTAAACCAATCTTTCACAGATATTTTGGCACAAGTTGTTCAAAATTTGAGAATGTAAAAGGCAAAGTTATAAGATTAAATACAGTATATTTTCATATAAAACCTTTTTTCTTTCTAAATATCGATCAAATTTAAATTAGGGCAATTATTTTCACAATTTTCAATACATCTATTCATTTTTTGATAAAGGTATAGGTATACAAGGCCAATACAATAAAGGATTAATTGAAGAAATAATTTCTTTCATATAATGATCATATTTCAAATTCTCAATAACAAAAATCTCCTAGGGCGCCATATAGGTGTACCTTATTAAAAGAAACTAAGTGGAAGAAAACTATGCAAAAACAAAACTGAGTTCTGTTAGAAACTGTTAAATTAATTGGAAATATTTAAATAGAAATGAAGGTACGTAGAAAACTTAGTCAAATTCTATTTTCTATTTGTATAAACAATATCAATAACAGCAGCATTATAATTATGTAGAGTAAAAACCATTTTATTTTTAATGTCAGATAATATCAATAACAGCTGCAATATATATAGAGTAAAAAAAAACCTTTTTATTTTTATTTCAGATTCATTAACTAAGATTAGTTATAAAATTTAAACTGTAACAAGTATGAAAGCAGTCAAAAAACCAACAGTTAGACACAAAACTGAACAGAGTAATGAAAGCAGAAAGAAGAAATCTCAAGATTTGCTACATGAGGATAAAGTGGACAAGCCTCTTGTTGTACAACCAACAGCAAGACAAAAATCTAAACAGAGTAATAAAAGGAGACAGAAAGAATCTAAGGATTTTCAGCTAGAGGATAAAGTGGACAAGCCTCTTGTTGTACAACCAACAGCAAGACAAAAAACTAAACTTGTTGTACAACCAACAGCAAGACGAAAAACTAAACTTGTTGTACAACCAACAGCAAGACGAAAAACTAAACTTGTTGTACAACCAACAGCAAGACAACAACCTGGACAGAGTAATGAAAGCAGAAAAAAGAAATCTCAGGATTTTCAGCTAGAGGATAAAGTGAACAACACTCTTGTCAAACAACCAACAGTTAGAAAAGTTGAACAAAATGAACAAAGTAATAAAAGCAGAAACAAGCCTCTTGTTGTAGTAGCCATAGATTTTGGAACAGTCCATTCCGGGTTTGCATATTCCTTTAAGGGAAATGAAGACAAAATAAAGTCAGCAGAACATGGAGGAATGCTGCAGGAAGATAGAGTACCTACAATATTGTTATTAAATCCAGACAAAACATTCCATTCATTTGGATACAATGCACAGACTGATTTTCATGAGCTTTCTCAATGTGACAGATCCAAATTTTACTACTTTGAAAACTTTAAAATGAAAATATATCAAGAAAGTAAAATTGAAAGAGAAATGGTAGTAAAAGATATTTCTGGTAAACCACTTGAAGCTATGACAGTTTTTTCAATAGCAATAAAACATCTGAAACATGAAGCATCAAAGATAGTTTTAGATTCAATACTTGGACTGAAAGAAACTGACATTCAATGGATGATAACAATTCCAGCGATATCATCTGACTCAGCACGTCAATTTATGAGAGAAGCTTATACAAAAGCAGGAATTCCAGAGACACATCTTCGACTTGTTCTTGAGCCTGAAGCAGCAGCTTTATACAGTACACCACGAATAATGACAGAAGCAATACCCTTTGGGTTTAGGTACATACTTGCTGATTTAGGTGGAGGGACAACAGACATATGTGCTCATAAAATAATAGATGGTGGCAAAATACAAGAAATATACCGAACAACAGGAGAAACCTCTGGTGGCAGTGATGTTGATGATTGTTTTATTAACATGATGAAAACTTTAGTAGGAGAAGAGGTATGGAGTGAATTCTCAACTAACCACTCATCAGCTTGTGTAAGCCTTGTTAATGAGTTTAGACTGAAGAAGAAAGAGTTTAAATCACAAACAAATAAAATACAATTGAGAATGGAAAATGCTCTGGTGCTTGTCATAAGAGGGAAAAAAAAGAACTTGAATGATATAGTTACAAAGTCAAAATATGCCAGAAAACTTGAGTATAATTCTAAGGACGCTAGACTTACAATCAACAGAGTGATGCTGGAAGAATTATTCAAGCCATCAGTTGATAAAATCATTAGCAAGTTGGTTGAAGTACTAGACCAATGTGATGAAAATGAAATGAAAACAATCATTTTAGTTGGAGGGTACAGTGAATCTCCCTATGTAAGGGAGAGAATTCAGTCAACATTCAGTAACATGAGAGTTATCCTTGTAGATGATGCTAGACTGGCTGTGTTAAATGGGGCAGTGATGATGGGCTGGAAACCTAAAAACATCATACAACGTAGGTCCAGGTACACTTATGGATTTGTAGTTGATCAACCATTCAGAGAGGGAATAGATCCAGAAGAACTTAGGATTAATGATGATGGGGAAATGTATTGTGACATGATATTTGCGAAGATGATAGAAAAAGGTCAGATAGTGGAGTATGGACAGACATTTATATTTGAAGGGTATGGTATAGCCACTCAAATAGAAGAAAAATGTAAAAAGAGATATGTAGATCTATATAGATCTACCCATGAAGATCCTCATTACTGTATAGAGGAGGAGGACTGTAGATTAGTAGGAAAAGTAAAACTTTTACCACCATCAGATGGATGGCCAGATACGTGGGAAAGCCATTTTTACATTATTGTTGGTGAAACTGAATTCACTGTGAAGTATTTGAATCCTAATACAGGAGAAGAATATGAAGCACAAATGGATTTTCTGTAATTACAAACAGTAGGGACCTAAAGATTAAGATTGAAAAAAATTGTTGTCTTTTACTTTCATTTCTTAAAATGGTCATTCCTTTCATAGGAAAAAAGTGATGAAGTAACTGAGAAAACTTTGAAATGGCCATGTTAACATGAAAAGATAGTGATGTTAAAATGGATACTGCAAAATATATTTATTTTATTCTCACAAGTACAGTGTTATATTTCTACTTTGTAATGTGTTAATGGAAGTAAAGAACAATACAATAAAGGATTCACAGTATAGTAGACATACCTCAGACGGAGTTTTTGTTTTCTTAAATACTTCATTGTGATATTTCAGTTATCTACCAAGAAACAAGGTATATAAATCTGGTTAATGAAAAGAAGAGGATAATGATTTTTTCTTCGCAAACTTTCCTCCCTAGAAAATGGGATTGCCCTAAATAAGAAAAGAAAAAGGAATTTTAATGAATTTTACCATTTTATTATATATTCAAGAAAGAAATAATATACCCACAAACTGGCAGTCAGTCCCGGGTAGTCTCTAGCCAAAAATTTGAGTGGTAATATTAGACAAAAGGTGAGGGCAAATTACAGAAAGGTAAGGTAATAATTAAGACCAGGGAGGAGGGTGGTGTTGCAGAATTTGGGTTCAAAAACTAATCTAAAAGGCTCTTCAGAATTACAGTAGAGTACAGTGGGGATTGAACTCATAATCCCTGTCTTTCCCTAGATGTCATTTTCTGATCACTCCTGTGAAGTTTGTTGTAATCTTACCAGCAGTTTGACCTATGAAAGCCAGACAAGATTTTTTCTAATTTTTTTTTCTGGCGGGAAGTGGAACGTGCTGGCGATGTGCAAACTGGGATGGTCTGATCACTCCTGTGAAGTTCCATTTAAATTCCACCAGCAGTTTTACCTTTGAAAGCCAGACAAGATTTTTCTATTTTTTTCTCTGGGGCCATTTTACACAGCAAAGGGGAATGTGCTGGCAAAGTGCACAACCAGAAATGGTACTGATCAATTCTGTAAAGTGTCGTTGAAATCCTATCAGTAGTTTGACCTGTGAAAGGCGGACAAGCTTAATGCAGATAGAGGGATGGACTGACAACCAGACGGACGGATGGACAGACGGATGGACAGGCTGACGGACAGACAGCGAAGGCAAAAACAATGTTTCCTAAAAATAAATTCGAGACATAGTTATATATGGATATTATTGGCAAGCGTGAGATACATGGTCTAAATTAACATATATAGCAGATAATAAAAGTGTTCTTGAACAAAAAAATTTTCATCATGTAAATGTTCATATTAATCACTTAGACCTTGAATAACATTTTTTTTTCAAAGAAACATTATATAAGAATATCCTGATATCCAAATGATACCTTTCTATTGTTCTGACTTATTGACAATTTTGCTTAAGCAACAGCAAAAGTAAGTTCATGTTATTTTGAATCATCCTTCGTATATAGACTATTCTCATTGCCGTATAGAGGAGGAGGATTGACTCCTTGTTTAGGAAGGAGAACAATTATACCACCAACAGATGGATGGCAAGATATGTGGGATTCTGATCTAAACCATTCTGTGTGTGTGTCTGAGTTTACTGTGAAATAACAAAACAAACAGTACAATGTTCCTTTTGCTATGAATCCAAAGTTTTACAAAAATTAGACTGTTTACAATGAAAATAATACATAAATTTTAAAAAGTCATAGTGACACCTGCCATAATGTAAAGAGCTATGTTCTATGTAAACCTATGTATTAACACATATGTTTTTGCATGGTATTATTTTTACAATGATATTGATTCTTTTTTTCTTCTTTTTTTTTAAAGTAATTGTTATATTGCATTTTAATGCAAAACTAGAAATGTGTCCATAGGACACGGGTGCCCCCACCGCGCCACTGTTCAGTCAATCTTTTTACTAAGTCAAGGGAAATAACTCTACAAATACTGGATAAATCCACAAGCGAAACCCCAGGTGCAAATCTAAATATGCTGAGCAACCTGCCCATTAGGTGTAATGACTATGTCAAATCCTTTTTGAGTAGCATGCGACACAAGTTGAAAATTGCAAAAAATTTCTAAGTGAAGGGCAATAACTCTAAAAATACTAAATAAATCCAGACAAAAATACCTGGTGCACAACTGCACATGCTGATCAATATTCATGTAAAGTTACATGACTCTAGGTCAAATACTTTTTGAGTTACATGCGACACAATTTGAAAATTGCAAAATTTTACTAAGTCAAGGGCAATAACTCTGAAAATACTAAAAATATCCAGAGGAAAATACCCAGGTGCACAACTACACATAATGATCAACATTCCTGTAAAGTTTCATGACTCTAGGTCAAATACTTTTTGAGTTACGTGCGACACAAGTTGAAAATTGCAAAATTTTACTAAGTCAAGGGCAATAACTCTGAAAATACTAAAAATATCCAGACAAAAATACCCAGGTGCAAAACTACACATGCTGATCAACATTCCTGTAAAGTTTCATGACTCTAGGTCAAATACTTTTTGAGTTACATGCGACACAAGTTGAAAATTGCAAAATTTACTAAGTCAAGGGCACCTGGGTATTTTCGTCTGGATATTTTTAGTATTTTAAGAGTTTCCATATTAATCTTTAAGCTGACACAGTGGGTGAACGAAAATCAATATGTACATGCATGGCACAAGTCTTAATTGAAGTTGTAACATTTTTGATAAATAGGATAATACAAGAAGTAATGGTAAGTGAATATTAATTAAAATCTTTATGAAATGTTAAAAATAACAATAATAAATCAGCATTTTTCTAATCAATTATTTTTCACTCTTGACCTATCTTTAAAGGAGCTCCAATGAGGTCTAAAGACTAAAACATAAAATTTAGAATTCTTACATACATCACATGAAGCACTTAAAATTGAAACATTTTCAAAGGATAATAGATAATTTGTTGAGAATTAAATTTTTTGTGTGTTTGTGTGATTATTAGTACGCTGTCAGTGTTTATACTAGGATTAAAAAAAAACAGAGGGGATTTTTGTAGAAAAGTGAGAATTCATTACATTCATTAATCTTTTTCCTTTTTTCTCTATGTAAAAATTTTCCCCTGCCTCTGAAAAATTAGGAGGGAATTCTCAAAAATATGGGTGAATCCCCCCATCGCTCCTCCAAGAATAGACACTGCAACTGTAACATTTAAAATACAAAATTGATCTCAATTTTGAGAAAAGAGGAAATATGAACAAAAGTTATTCGTCCAGACCAACATAAACTTTAAATGATACACAAATTTCAGAAACAATACTTCTAGTCCAGTCTTGTCAAAAAACCTAATTCGTGTCCCTTTAAAATCTATTAAAATTAATACTGTTGAAATATTTGCAATAAATTTTCAATATTACAGTATAATACAATAACAAAAGATGACAAAAAGATTTTTTCCTTTTCTTTTAAAGATTAGTTCACTACTGAGATCTCCAATGAACACTTTAACAATGCTACAACAATCATGAGCACAGTCCTACAACTAACAAATGAATCAACAAAACACTGTAAGCAAGAGAAAAAAACAGCAAGTTTCAAAATTAAGCCAGACACAAAATTCAACCGGAAAATAAGTTAAGATAAGCTGGTAATGTAAAGCTGTAACAAGTATGGGAGCAGCCATACAACCAACAGCAAGACAACAAACTAAACAAAGTAATGAAAGCAGAAAGAAAGAATCTCAGGATTCTCTACATGAGGATAATGTGGACAAGCCACTTATCAAAGAACCAACAGCAAGACAACAAACTGAACATAGTAATGAAAGCAGACATAAAGAATCTCAGGATTCTCTACATGAGGATACAGTGGACAATCCACTTGTTGTAGTAGCCATAGATTTTGGAACAGTCCATTCTGGGTTTGCATATTCCTTTAAGGGAAATGAAAACAACATTAAATCAGGAGAACATGGAGGAATGCTGCAGGAAGATAGAGTACCTACAATATTGTTATTAAAACCAGACAAAACATTCCATTCATTTGGATACAAAGCACAGACTGATTTTCATGAGCTTTCTCAATGTAACAGATCCAAATTTTACTACTTTGAAAACTTTAAAATGAAAATATATCATGAAAGTAAAATTAAAAGAGAAATGGTAGTAAAAGATATTTCTGGAAAACCACTTGAAGCTATGACAGTTTTTTCAATAGCAATAAAACATCTAAAAGATGAAGCATCAAAGATAGTTTGTGAATCAATACTTGAACTGAAAGAAACTGACATTCAATGGATGATTACAATTCCAGCAATATCATCTGACTCGGCACGTCAGTTTATGAGAGAAGCTTCAACAAAAGCAGGAATCCCAGAAACACATCTTCGACATGTTCTTGAGCCTGAAGCAGCAGCTTTATACAGTACACCACTAATAATGACAGAGGCAATACCTTGTGGGTTTATGTACATACTTGCTGATTTAGGTGGAGGGACAACAGACATATGTGCTCATAAAATAATAGATGGTGGCAAAATACAAGAAATATACCGAACAACAGGAGAAGCCTCTGGTGGCAGGGATGTTGATGATTGTTTTATTAACATGATGAAAACTTTAATAGGAGAAAAGGTTTGGAGTGAATTCTCAACTAACCACCCATCAGCATGTGTAAGCCTTGTTAATGAGTTTAGATTGAAGAAAAAAGAGTTTAAATCACAAACAAATAACATACAATTGAGAATGGAAAATGCTCTGGTGCTTGTCTTAACAGGGGAAAACAAGAACTTGAATGATATAGTTAAAAAGTCAAAATATGTTAGAAAACTTGATTATAATTCTATGGACGCTAGACTTACAATCAACAGAGAGATGCTGGAAGAATTATTCAAGCCATCAGTTGATAAAATCATTAGCAAGTTGGTTGAAGTACTAGACCAATGTGATGAAAATGAAATCAAAACAATCATTTTAGTTGGAGGATACAGTGAATCTCCCTATGTAAGGGAGAGAATTCAGTCACAGTTCAGTAACATGAGAGTTATCCTTGTAGATGATGCTCGACTTGCTGTGGTAAATGGGGCAGTGATGATGGGCTGGAAACCTAAAAACATCATACAACGTAGGTCCAGGTACACTTACGGATTTGCAGTATATGTACCATTCAGAGAGGGAATAGATCCAGAACAATTTAGGATTAATATTGATGGGGACATATATTGTAACTGGAGATTTAAGAAGATGATAGAAAAGGGTCAGATAGTGGAGTATGGACAGACATTTATATCTGAAGGGCATGGTACAGCCACTATAGTAGAAAATAAATATGAAGAGAAATATTTACCTCTATATAGATCTACCCGTGAAGATCCTCAATACTGTATAGAGGAGGACTGTAGCTTAGTAGGAATAGTAATACTTATACCACCATCAGATGGATGGCCAGATACGTGGGATCATGATCTACACCTTATTGTTGGTGAAACTGAGTTCACTGTGAAGTACTTTAATCTTGATACAGGAGAAGAATATGAAGCACAAATGGATTTTCTGTAATTACAAACAGTAGGGACCTAAAGATCAAGATTGATAAACAATTGTTGTCTTACTTTTATTTCCTAAAATGGTCATTCCTTTCACAGGATAAAGTAGAAGTGATGGCCATTTTAACATAACAAGATAGTGATGTTTAAATGGATACTGCAAAATATATTTATTTTATTCTCACAAGTACAGTGTTATATTTCTACATGTAATGTGTTAATGGAAGAAATGATTCAGACAGTAGAAAAGACAAACCTTAGACAGAATTATTGTTTTCTTAAATATTTCATTGTAGTACTTTTCAGTTATATACCAAGAAACAAGGGTATAAGACTGGTTAAGGAAAAGAAGAGGGAAATGAGCAGATTTTTTTCTTCCCAATCTTTCCTCACCTAGAGAATGGGATTGCCCTGAATAAGTAAAGCAAAATAATTGGTATTGAATTTTTACCATTTTATTATGTCTTCAGGATGGCTGATGAGGGTTGAAATTAATGTAGACAAAAAGCTAGGGCAAATTACAGACTGGTTAATAAATAATAAAGAGCAGGAGAGGGGGTGGGCTTGCAGACAAAGTTCAAAGTGTAATATATATTAAGTAAAATAAATTGTCATCACCAAGGCACTTTCATGAAACATTAATCAATAAATGAAGAACAATAATAAATGACAAATTTATTGTTCTTTATCTTTTATTTATTTCCCTGAAAAATCTGACCTTTGTTACTGGACACACATCTTGCTTTAACTTCTACTTGGGATACTTATTAAAATGAAGGGTTTATTTATATAAGTTTCAACACAAATTCATTTACCAATTTGTAACTTAAAAATAAAAGATATTGTTTTAGTGTAGACATAATTAATCAAACATGAAATATTATCAACAAGATTTAAATAGTTCTATTATAATCAAATTACAAAATCAATACTGTGGTAAGTGTTTTTTTCTGTGGTGACTTTATTTTTGCGTATTCTGCGGTCAGCTTTAGCACCGCAGAAATTAAAACTGCAGAATAATTCCCCATGTTTTGGTTTTACATTGTTATGATATGTGTCCTACATTATGACATGTGTCGTCTAAAGTAAAACGACTAACAGATTTTAATGGTTGGCAGGTCATCTTGTTGTATGAAATTGCTGTGGGCTAAGTATGAAATCAGTGTTTGCAAGGATGCACTTACTGTTCATTATGTCAATTTATGAAAAAAAAGACATTTAAACATCATATATACCCGTAAGTAATATTTTTCACACTTCTATTCATGCTGATCAAAAGATGCATACTTTAATATTGTTGCACATTATATTTGTTTGCACATCACCATGTGAGTATAAATTACTTTTTTGCAGTGACAATGATGAACAAATGAGAATGTGTACATGCAAATGTTATAGGTAGAGTAATATGACTTAGACCTCTATGTATTGAAAAGTTTGTTGTAAAATAAATTCAAATATAGTCTGGCCACCGCTTTCTTTTTCTTGTCCATCTTTTTACCTCAGTAAGCTCCTTTGCAGATATAATTCATCTCTGCTTTGATAATATCTGTGATACATATATTAAAATAGTCTGTACAAAAGTAAACTTTATTGTAGTTCCACCATGACCATGGTGACATCTTATGATAAGATGAGCCGTAGAATTTGAATATTGTTTTGTCCATAGAATGTGCCACAGAAATAAAGTCGGCATAAATGAAAAGATGCCAAAATAGGGAAAAAACGGAGAATTTGGAGCCCGCAGAAATAAACATTTATACGGTAGTAATTTTTGGCAATAAAGACAAAGGTTTTAAACAAAATTAATTATGATCACACCAAAATTAAATTCATCTTATTTTAAATCTGAAACAATAAGACAGAGTTATGGAATTCATATCTATGCAGTGCCTTTCAACTTAATCTTTCAGCTAAAACAAATCAATATGTAAATGCATGGCACATGTCTGAATTGAAGTTGTAATGTTTTTAATAGGATAATACAGGAAATAATGGTAAGTGAATTTTAACAAAATTCTTTATGAAATGTTAAAACCAATCATAACAAGAATGTCGAACGACACATATACCCCCCTTTCTAGCCATTGACTCACATAATTGGTAATTTTATTACAGAAACTTGCCAAAAATGGGTACATGGAAGTGTTCAATTATGGAAAAATCAACGGAAACCATTTTGACATTTAAGGCCCATGTGACATTGACCTTTGACCCCTAAATCAATAAGAGGTCATCTACTACTTATGACCAATAACTAGTGAAATATGAAGACTTTGTGATGAATACTTTTTCAAGATAATCAGCGGAAACCCTTTTGACATTTAAGGCCCCTGTGACCTTGACCTTTGACCTAGTGACCCCAAAATCAATAGGGGTCATCTTCTAGTAATGACCAATCACTATGTGAAATATGAAGACTTTGTGATGAATACTTTTCAAGATAATCAGGGAAACCATTTTGACATTTTAAGGTCCCTGTGACTTGACCTTTGACCTAGTGACCCAAAATCAATAGGGTCATAAAAACTAGTGATGACCAAATCACTATGTGAAATATGAAGACTTTGTGATACAATACTTTTCAAGATAATCAGCGGAAACCATTTTGACATTTAAGGCCCCTGTGACCTTGACCTAGTGACCCAAAATCAATAGGGGTCATCTACTAGTGATGACCAATCACTATGTGAAATATGAAGACTTTGCGCTACATACTTTTCAAGATAATCAGCGGAAACCATTTTGACATTTAAGGCCCCTGTGACCTTGACCTAGTGACCCCAAAATCAATAGGGGTCATCTACTAGTGATGACCAATCACTATGTGAAATATGAAGACTTTGTGCTACATACTTTTCAAGATAATCAGCGGAAACCGTTTTGACATTTAAGGTCCCTGTGACCTTTGACCTAGTGACCCCAAAATTAATAGGGGTCATCTACTAGTTATGACCAATCACTATGTGAAATATGAAGACTTTGTGATAAATACTTATCAAGATAATCAGCGGAAACCATTTTGACATTTTAAGGTTCCTGTGACCTTGACCTTTGACCTAGTGACCCCAAAATCAATAGGGGTCATCTACTAGTGATGACCAATCACTATGTGAAATATGAAGACTTTTTGATACATACTTTTCAAGATAATCAGCGGAAACCATTCTGACATTTAAGGCCCTGTGACCTTGACCTTTGACCTAGTGACCCCAAAATCAAAAGGGGTCATGTACTAGTGATGACCAATAACTAGGTGAAATATGAAGACTTTGTGATACATACTTTTCAAGATAATCAGCGGAAACCATTTTGACATTTAAAGCCCCTGTGACCTTGACCTTTGACCTAGTGACCCAAAATCAATAGGGGTCATCTACTAGTTATGACCAATCACTGTGTGAAATATGAAGACTTTGTGATACATACTTTTTAAGATAATCAGCGGAAACCATTTTGACATTTAAGGTCCCTGTGACCTTGACCTTTGACCTAGTGACCCCAAAATTAATAGGGGTCATCTACTAGTGATGACCAATCACTATGTGAAATATGAAGACTTTGTGATGCATACTTTTCAAAATAATCAGCGGAAACCATTCTGACATTTAATGACCCTGTGACCTTGACCTTTGACCTAGTGACCCCAAAATCAAAAGGGGTCATCTACTATTGATGACCAATCACTATGTGAAATATGAAGACTTTGTGATACATACTTTTCAAAATAATCAGAGGAAACCATTTTGACAGTTAAAGCCCTGTGACCTTGACCTTTGACCTAGTGACCCCAAAATCAAAAGGGGTCATCTACTAGTGATGACCAATCACTATGTGAGATATGAAGACTTTGTGATACATACTTTTCAAGATAATCAGAGGAAACTGTTTTGACAGTTAAAGCCCTTGTGACCTTGACCTTTGACCTAGTGACCCCAAAATTAATAGGGGTCATCTACTAGTTATGACCAATCACTATGTGAAATATGAAGACTTTGTGATAAATACTTATCAAGATAATCAGCGGGAAACCATTTTGATATTTTAAGGTTCCTGTGACCTTGACCTTTGACCTAGTGACCCAAAATCAATAGGGGTCATCTACTAGTGATGACCAATCACTATGTGAAATATGAAGACTTTTTGATACATACTTTTCAAGATAATCAGCGGAAACCATTCTGACATTTTAAGGCCCCTGTGACCTTGACCTTTGACCTAGTGACCCCAAAATCAAAAAGGGGTCATGTACTAGTTGATGACCAATCACTATGTGAAATATGAAGACTTTGTGATACATACTTTTCAAGATAATCAGCGGAAACATTTTGACATTTAAAGCCCCTGTGACCTTGACCTTTGACCTAGTGACCCAAAATCAATAGGGGTCATCTACTAGTTATGACCAATCACTGTGTGTGAAATATGAAGACTTTGTGATACATACTTTTTAAGATAATCAGCGGAAACCATTTTGACATTTAAGGTCCCTGTGACCTTGACCTTTGACCTAGTGACCCCAAAATTAATAGGGGTCATCTACTAGTGATGACCAATCACTATGTGAAATATGAAGACTTTGTGATGCATACTTTTCAAAATAATCAGCGGAAACCATTCTGACATTTTAAAGACCCTGTGACCTTGACCTTTGACCTAGTGACCCCAAAATCAAAAGGGGTCATCTACTAGTGATGACCAATTACTATGTGAAATATGAAGACTTTGTGATACAATACTTTTCAAAATAATCAGAGGAAACCATTTTGACAGTTAAAAGCCCCTGTGACCTTGGGGACCTTTTGACCTTAGTGACCCCAAAATCAAAAGGGGTCATCTACTAGTGATGACCAATCACTATGTGAAATTGAAGACTTTGTGATACATACTTTTCAAGATAATCAGAGGAAACCGTTTTGACAGTTAAAGCCCTTGTGACCTTGACCTTTGACCTAGTGACCCCAAAATCAATAGGAGTCATCTACTAGTTATGACCCCAATCACTGTGGTGAA